CATTTTTATTACAAGGTTCAAGCAGGTATATTTTCTATATGTATCAGTTTTTAAATAATGTTTTTTTTCTTCTGGATATCAAATTTAAAAAGCAGAGTTTACTCATTTTTGTTATCCATATAATTGTACTGGAAAATTAAAACCATTGTGTAAAAAACAGCGCAAACGTTTCCTGAGGTTACCTTACCATTAGAGCACAAGTATTTCATGCATGGGCGTAGGTTTGCATAGGGACCAAAGGGACATGTCCGTACCAAAATTTTGGACCGACCTACTTGTCCCTACCAACAATTACATGTGAATAACATGTTTATAATTTACAATACAGCGTTGTTGCAGCAGTATAGGAGTTCTGGATGGGGAATATTGACAGACGAAAACATGTTTTATCTAAAATACAAAATGTTTATTTATTTATTTATTTTTTTTACAATTTTGGTATAATTCCTACTCTAAGTGGGTCGCTCTGTGAGCTAAAGACATGTTTTGGAGTCTCTATACCCCAGTTAATAATTAACCGATTTGTTGACATTATTTCAATAATTGATTTATCCAATGATTTGTTTCAGCCCTAAATAAAATACATGATATGGGTTAAACAGTAACTGCAGCCTAGATGTACAACTTGTGGAGTGAAGTTAATATCCTCATACCCCATTTACACTACCCTTGAAAAACCGGTCCATGCCTAGACCGGTTCGAGCTCGGATCAGTTAACCAGGCCACACTCGGTTGTGACGACCATTTACACATCACGCTATCTTGGCTCCTCGACTCCTCGCCTCCTAGTGATGATCTGCGGTATTACTGCCAGTATTGAAGGAGGAAATCAAGCAGTTGGTGGTGGTAATGCATCAAAAGTTGTTTGCCAACCACCATAAAACACAAGAAGAAGAAGAAGACGAAGAAGGAGGGAATAAAGCAAATCAAAATGGCGGCGCCCGTCACATTTGGAAAGTTATGCTTGATTGTTATTGCTGTACTTCGGTTTTATTATTTAAAATGCCATTATTCAAAATGTTGCAAAGATTTCGATTGTTGTTTATAACTACTTCTTCTGTTTTGTGTTGGTCGGCAAGCAACTTCCGGAGGGGCATTACCGCCAACTACTGGAATGGAGTGTGAATCGGGGTGTGCAGCCACACGGAGATGGCATGTTCTGCTCATGCGCTCCTGTTATCAGAGAACCAAGCCAGGGAAAAACCGAGCCGAGCCCACCTCTGGAACTGGTTTTGCAATTAGCTCGGTTTGGTTGTGTCAAGCTCGGTTCAGTTCAGTTTGCTTTCCATTTACACACGATAAGTTATCTCAGTTACTTAGCTTGGACTGGTCTCGGCATGGTTTTTCAAGGGTAGTGTAAATGGGGTATCAGCGTCAGTTCCTCTTCTAGTTCCAGTGCACAAGTAAATATAATACGTTTATTTGGCATCCCTTTAATCTATTATTTCGCTTTGTTTCGTCATAAAAACAGAACATTTAAAATATAAGAGTGGGTTTTACTTTGTTTACCTCTGCACAATTCTATATCTTCAAAATAAAAAAAGTTTAAATCCACATATAACGGACATATTTAGACTATATTCTGTTAAATAGGCACAGATTTACCTACTGTCTTAGTCACTAGTAATTTCAAAGACAAACCTTTTTCAAAATGGAAAGGAGTCCAATTTCCTCATTCATCAGAGCCAGTTATTGATAAACAGCATCTAGTGTGTGTAGTGCTCATAAGATTTGTATAAATGTACCAAGAAATGCTGCTTTTCTCTGTAAACGAAATACACCCTGATTTTCACGTCAAGCATAAAAAACGAGCATGCATATTTTTGCATAGGACCGATGACATCAGACCAATAGTGTCCCTACCAAAGCTGAAATCAAACATACGCTCATGTGTTATTCAACCAGCAGGCCTGATTGATTCAATGAGGCAGATGTTAGCCTAGCCAGCTGCTCTTGTTACCTTTCGTGGACCGCTTGGGTGTAGCTTTCTTGGGGTTAGAATCCGGGATGAGGACAATCTCCTCTGGATTCCCTCCTTCTTCCTCAATCGCCTGTTTGAGGATAGAAAAGAAAAAAACACTTTGGTAGATTGCACAAACACGGTCAGAAACACGGTGACGAAATTAAATGTATGCTCTACGGAGACCAACGGCTCAGTTAGCTTCAGCGCTAGCATTCCGTTTTAATACATTTAGGCAGAAATGCGCTTGATAAACCAACATGAAAACAGCACCGAACCCTCAAATATGTGATGGCTTATTAAATTCGCGATTGTTTCGTTTAATATGACAGAACAGTACCTTTTTGAGACGCTCCGACAGCACGCTCTTGACGCCAGTAGTGTCCAGGTTTCGTTTTTTCAGTTCGGCCTTCAGGTCGATGACTCTAAGCTCCGACAGTTTACGGACCTCCGCACCCTCAGGCATCTCCATTTCACCTGATGGATTCGCCATCGTTTAGGTAGGAGAATGATTTCTAGGAGGTTTAAAAGAATGTTCAAAATAAGTGTAATAGACTAGCGCTGCTTCGCAAATGGAAGCAGCAGACTCGGAAAAGCGACAGCAAAATGGCGGACGCGACAGGTCAAGATAACGCAATGCGCATGCGCAGACCAGAACTGTCTGCAGCGCTCCACCACCTCATTGTAAAATGAGGGTTTGACAGAAGAAAAACCCGTTACTTCTGAAATAATGTTCATACCTGAGATGGTGAAATTATGAACAATCCTTATTCTGTTAAGTATTTCATGTTTAAAAATAAAGAAAAGGCATTGACATTTTGTAAAAAAAAAAAAAAAAAACAAGATGGAAGCATACTTTTCCATAAAAGGTTGGTATTTGTTGAAAATCGTCCTCCTAGTTTCCAACCTTATTACAGAAACTGATCTAAAAAATCATTACTGATAACTTTTATGCCAATCTATTGTAAAGAAAGCATCTTTGCATTCGAAGAAAATATGCATTGCTGCAGTAAATATCATTTATAATTTTTCTGGATAAAACATTTGTTAATGTTTTTAAACTAATGGTTAATAAGAGGGCAAGTGTAAGTCTAAAGAGCTGGTATGCCCCCTACGCAATTGTGGACTAGGACGTTTCTTTGCAGATGTAATAGCGCGAAATGTTCCTCTTAAACCCACCTGATACTGGGTTGATTGACCGGACCTTATTTATACCCCAACACATGCCAGATTTCAACATGATGGTGAGCCATTTAAACACAACACCAATAGCAAAGCAGACAGTGGTACTTTTAATTACTATGTTAATAACTGTTCATTAGACGGTTGGTAAAAAATACACTCATATAATATGTTTCAAACCGAAATAAAGATCTTAAAAGAACGATGCATTTGAGTATTTTATTTTTACAAGATGACTTGGAATTATCGGTAATCCAGAGTGTAGATTAAAACCATAACCGTAATGAGCAATGTGTTAGCGACGTGGGGGTTTGGGGGGGGGGGGGGGGGGGGTTGTAGGGGGAGGGGGGGCGGATAGGGGGGGTTTTGTACTTTATATGGGGCCCACCCACATATGGTCGTTACACCATTGTCATTAAGAGATTTTTTTCTGTATTGTATTCTTCAGGGAATGCACTTCTAAAACTGGAAAACATTAGAAATACAAGGGGGGTCTGATCATCTTTCTTCATTCATGAAACTTCTCAACTATGGTTTGCATATTTAAACTTAATTTAACTTGCATTGTATCCGATATAGAATAGACCTCTGCTTTTAATGTGGTATTATGAGCCTAGTTTTGTCATGCATCAAAGTTGCTTATTTTACCTATTTTACCTGGGTTCAATCACAAGCTTGAAAATCTAGTCAAGGCAAGTTTATTTGTATAGCATGTTTCACTGACAATAGAGTTCAAAGTGTTGTACATGAACAGAACACAAAAAACACACAGAAAAGTAGATACAGTGGCATAAAACATAGAAAATTAGAAGATAGACTGCAGTATAAAAGAAAAGGTTGGTCTACAAACTTAAACTATTGATTTTTCTAGAGTGTATTTCAGTAGAGCATTCAAGGTAAACTCTAAACAAATAGAATTTTTAGCGTTTTTTTTTTTTACTTTGTTTTTTTTACCTAAACCCATTAATATGTTTTAATAACATAGCAGCAGTAATGGAGTTTGAAGTGCAAATTCTGATTTGGTGAAACAATCTTGATTTTCTAACTTGAAGCTCAAAATTAGTAATTTTCCATTACATTCATAATACCTTTGGCTTAGACAATAGTACATTTTATAATATTAGTAGTATTACTAGTAGCAAAATGGTTTTCTGAAAGAAGCTAAATCCAGTTGTTCATATGTAAGTCATCAATTCAATGCTTGTAAAATGATGGTAAGCTAAACAAAGGCCCCGTCCACACGAAGTCAAAACGAACACGAAACGCTGATATTTTCCAAAACGTTTGCCGTAAAGACGGAGACGTAAAATAAATGTGATCGTCCACACGAATGCATGAAAACGCTGCAAAATGTATGCCAGGCCTGTAAGTGGCGCTGTGGTGCCAAAGCAAAAATAAGCGACGAAATGTAGGGCATGCGCACTAATATTTATACATGGTTGCCCTGCGGGTCTATTTTCGTGGTTAAGTCAAATTCAGGTGCTGAACTATGTGGTCGATATTGCTCTGTTCTTCCTGGAGATATTCCAGAAGAAGAAGATTCTGTTGTAAGCCCGACCAGCCCGACAGCAGGGTGAGTAGCATTAGCAGCAACGGCGCCATTGTTGTTGTGATGTGTCGCGCTTGCGTGTTTAGAGGCGACGCTATGACGCATGCGTGTAAAAAAAAAATGCGGTTAGGGTGTAAAGATGGAAACGCGAATACGGCGTTTCAGAATCTTCCCACTCTGAAGGGTGTATAAAAAAAATGATCGTTTACAGACCCCCGAAACGCCGGCTTCGTGTGGATGAGAGGCTGGTTTGGTGAAAAATTTGTGCGTTTAGGCCAGGGTTCGTCTTCGTGTGGACGGGGCCAAAGAGGAGCAAAAAACAACAAGACTTAAAAGTATTTTAGGATATGTATTCAAACCTACTCACAGCTAAAGACATGCTAAATTTGAACTATTTCATTTAATATGTTGCTCATCTATTATATTCACATTTATAAGACAGCACAAATAAGCACAAACGTATATAAAATGAGGTGATATACATAGTAAAACAAAATAATCTGCACTTAATAAGTCTGGTTCATTTATAATGTGTTCTAAGGACCTGAGTATGGAAAAGTATGGAATTTGCTTTAGTATTTCTTAGGCATAAAAATGTTACAAAAGTGTTATATATAACTTACATATTTTGTTATTTTATTATAAACCATTTTAAAATATATTAAAAAGAAGAGCATAGTCTTAGTTTTCATTCACATTATAAAACTCTTTATAAAAATGTACCAAATCCATTTTTCTGCATAACTACACGCATCAACAGTAAACCCAGCTAAACAACCATTTTTTTATCAACCTTGAAATGTTATGAAGGACAAGAGAGTAAACATATTATAATCAAGAGAACTTGTGATTAATACATCACACTGATTGAGATATATTTTGTTGTACTTTTTATACTTAATGTATAAAAACAATGTCTGAAATCGACATTTTAGATTGCATGAAAGAAAAAGACTGGTAATAATCCCTAGAGTGAGTATCACTTAGAAAGAATGGAAGTTGTACATGTCGCTAAATTTGTAGTTAATTTCGCCAGTGTGGCCATGGGGCAAGCTTTTACTAGCAGTAAGAGGTTGCGGTGAATTAAACACCCCTGGGCTGTCGGTCTCCTCTGGCATATTGGCACTCCTTGATAAAGTCAGAGAGTCGGCATGAGAAAATTCAGTACTGGTTTGTCCAAAGGATGTCCATGTGTCTGAGGCTAAGGAAGAGCACTCTGCAGAGTCGAAGCTGGAGCACGAGTAAGCAGGGCCACTAGTAGACATTCGAGATTCGTGGAGATTCAGTTTGGAGACCAGGGGTTTGCCCACTGTTACAGGCAGTTGCTCTTGTACCTCTTCATCCATGTTGGAATATGTGTAATGAAGGCAGACAGTAAAAGTGAGGTCCGTCTGTGAGGTGAATGAAAAGCAGAATGTCTTCTTTAAGTCAAAGAGCATAATAATATAAACAGAAAACTCAAACCCCTGTAACAGTTCCACTTGTCTTTTTAAAGTTAACTTACCAACAAGGTTTCTACTAACTGCATTCATTACAAATGAAGAAAGACTATCGGTTGGCCCGCAAAGGGATTTTGGCAAACTTTCCGGTGCTTCTGGAGAGGGAATAAGGGGTTTGTTTAGCCTTTTTTCTAGTTGGGCTTAATTCTATGGAGATCTAACCCAATTACTTTGGAGCTCTGGGCATGGCAGTCAAAGGACAGTGCCACTGGACTGGCAGACTGGGATAGTGGTTCCTCTTTATAAGAAGGGGTACCGGAGGGTGTGTTCCAACTATAGTGAGATCACCTATCTCAGCCTCCACAGGAAGGCCAATATCACAGAGCTGAAGAGGAGAGTCCAGCTGATTGTCCAGCCTCGGCTTCAGAAGGAGCAGTGTGGTTTTCTTCTCAGCTGTGGAACATTCGACCAGCTCTACATCCCCTGCAGGGGGTTTATGGGTTCATGGGAGTTTGCCCAACTGGTCCACATGTGTTTTGTGGACTTGGAGAATGGATTCAACCATTTCCTTTATGGGGCCCTGTGAGGGGCACTCACGGAGTACAGGGTATGGAGTCTTATACTAGGGGCCATCTGGTCTCTGAAGAAGCAGGGCAGGAGTTTGATTCAAGCATTAAGTCAGACCTGTTCCCAGTGTGTGTTTTGGGAGGGCTGCTCTCTGTCAATGGTCATGTTCATAAACTTTATGGACCTTCTTTTATATTTTGCTGGCTCCCTCCTACAAGACCTATAGCATGGACTGGGGCTGTTAGCAGCAGAGTCCAAAGTGGCCAGAATGAGATTCAGGGGTTCTAAAACATGAAATGATGGCTTGTCCCCTTTAAATAGGGGGAGAGTTCCTGCTTTAAGTGAAGGAGTAGGGTCCCACTCCTGGAGTGGGAAATTGATAAACGGATCATTGCAGCCGCCACTATAATGCTAGCACTGCAACAGTCTATTGAAGTAATAAGATTGCCCAGAGAAAAGGTTAAACTAGTAATCTACCAGTCATTCTATGTTCCTACCCTAAAATTCTAGGTGGTGACTGAAATAACGAGTTCCAGATATGAGCAGCTGAAATTAGCTTTATCTGCAGGGTGGCCATGCACATGCGGAGCTCGGTCATCCGTGCAAGGTTCAGAGTAGAGCTGCTTTATCCTTCACATCCAAAGGAGTTTAGGTGCTCGGGGATCTTTATTGGATGCAACCTGGACGCCTCCCTCAGGAGGTGTTCCAGGCATGTCGCACCTGGAAAATGCCCAAGACATAAGCAAGGACCCGCTGGAGGGACTATGTCTCTCAGCTGGCCAGGGGAAGTCCTGGGCTTCCCCCAGCTGAGCTAGGGGAGGTGTCTGGGGAGGGAGGTTTGGAAGATACGGTTCATTTTAATTTTCCTATTTAAATTGCTAATACAATTGCCATTTTGTCCAGGAAATCCCGAATAAAAAAAAAATGGTTAAAGACTGACAGACTACTCATAAATATGTTCATGGTTGAAAATAACATTTTGCACAGTTCTATAAAGAAAACATAATAATTTTCCAATTAGATCAATGAACACAAATGATTGTCTGACCCTGAGTCTCTGCAGACCACGGATGCGTGTGTAAAGACTCTTTGCCTCTGGTGAGGGAAGTTCCTCCTTAATCAGCAGCAAGCAGCCGGCCTCAAACAGAGTCTCCTGGTTACTCTTCTTCAGGTCAATGTCCACTTCCTGTTGAAAGAAATGAACATTGAGGAGCATTGTACATATTAAATCATTATCATTTTCATAGTATACTGTTTGCTTGCCAAGGAAATAGCATGCCAGAAAAGACTGCACAACTATGTTGATTGTAATAAGTCCAGTTTGGAGAACAAAGAGTTGCCAGTTTGAGGATTTTAAAAGCCGGCATACATCCTCACATAAAAATCATGAACATCAAGAGCAGTAATGCAGTTTTAAGGGCATTACTGCCCTAAAAAGTATTATCTAATATGTTTTTTCACTGAAGCAACCTTCCCATACAAAGAACACGTTTAATGCCTCCACATTGTCCATTTATTTTTGATAATGTCAAAAGTCAAAAAGTCAAAAAGCCTTTATTGTCATTATATTCTGTGACAGATACAATGAGATTTGGGACTTCCATAACAGCTACCGTAAAATAAAAATAAAAATAAAAAATATATAGATATATTAAAAGGAAAAGGAAATGTAAACAGTTACAAAATATATATATAAATATATTAAAAGGAAATGTAAACAGTGAAAAGGAAATATAAACAGTACTGGCACAGATTGTGGGGGGGGGGGGGGGGGGGGGGGGGATAGTGCAAAACAGGTGTAAAGTGACCGACAGTGCAGGTCGGAGTTGAGGGGGGGGCAATGGCTTGGGGAATAATGCAAACCAGGTGAAAAGTGTACACCTTATCAGGAATTATGGGACAACTAAAGTGGCTTGTTAGATTAAAAAGAGAAGTGATCTCTGCTACTGCATTAGACTATGTACGAATCATGTACAAAGCTGGAAGAAGCATTATGATGGTACTGTGGTTTCTAATTGTAACAAATTGAAGTTTCTATAAGACAAGAAAGAAATTCCCAACATAGAGAGATAGGATGTTCATGGGTAGGTAGGAAGTCCAAAAGAACATTTACACAGCAGTGCACATAGAAAAAAATCCTTAGGCGGTCTAGAGAGGGGCTGGCACTCATCACTTGTAGTAATAGAAGCAGGGTATGTCCTGGAAAGGTCGCCCTTACCCTGAGGGCAATTTAGAGAAAGTAATTAAGTAAGCGGTTATATTTTTGGAGTGAGGCAGCTGTACCTGGATAAAAACCAAGAAAAAAATCAGACTCCATGCAGAAAGAACCAACCTCCTGCTGCGAGGTTACAGTGCTACTCACTGGCCCACCAGGCTGCTCTCCCACCCTGTGTGGATCCTTTCTACAGTAGTTTCCATGTATCTGTCACTCCTTGATCTTATCAGTAAACCTGTTCTTGTCATTTCTCACCCTACCAACAAAACATAATCATATTTAAAATATCTTTTAAATAACTATGAATAATATTGCAAAGACATCATTTAGTATTTCAAGGGTTTTTAACAAAATAGAAAAATAGAATGGTAGAGCCTGATTGGACTGATTTTAGATTGTCACATAAAATGAAACATATTCCTTTTATCCTATCATTTTTATTCTTTTCTTCCTCATTTCAGTGCACAGAGTTTAACCTTGATACTGAAAAATCTAACCTTATTTTGAGAAAATTGAACAAATATTCTTTATTTGCATTGAAAAAACAATCTAGAAATATGTCAAAATGTCTTAATTGAAGTGGATTTACCTTCAATTTGAGAAGGTAGATGAGATTATTTGCCAATGGAATGAATATTTTTATGCTTAAAATAAGATAATTAGATAAAATGCAATTGTAAATAGAAAATGCTATTGTTTTTTCTTATTTTAAATGTAAATTGTCCGGTTCCATTGGCAAAGAGTCCTACTTACCTCCTCAATTTAAGACAAAATGACTTATTAAGATTTAATTTTTTTTCAAAAAATGATAATCCATGATAATCCAACTTCTGTTTAAAGTGTGTCAAAAAGGCTAAATCACTATCAGTCATCCCAGGAGATGAAAAACCTATAGAGCCATACTGTAGATAGCCAACACACCTGTGGGAAGTCTGTGAGCTGAGCACAACAGGTTTCTATTTCTGCAGGTTTCTCAAGTATCCGGGAGTAGATGACCATAACGTTAGAAAATTCTGCTGCAAATCCCAGCTGGACCTGTACCCCACAGTCAAACTGGAGACAGCGGCTCTCAGGCAGAACTGTTCGAATAATAAAAAAAAAAAAAAAAAAAAAAAAACATTTTAAATCTGGGAGTCTAGATAATACAGAGCATGAAAATGAAACAATCTGCAACTATAAGTAACTTTTAAGCATTTAATCAAATCAGTTTTTATGTTTGTACCATGAGCGACCGCCCACTGCAGATTTCGAGCTGAATCGGATTCCGAGCTCTCAGATGTCTGGATCTGATCTGTGAGAGAACGTCTTTCAGAAAGGTTGCTGCGCAGCTCCAGAGCCTGTCTTCCTCTTGTAATCGCACAGCGACCCATGTCTGAAAAAAATGAATAGCGCTTTCAAAGGAGGGCAGTCTAACGTCAGTGCTGTTGAAGAGTTTAACACTAGGGTAAACCTGGCTCCCATCAGAACACAGGGAGAGATTAAGATTTGTATGCGAATGACTCTATATAAGGTCTTACCAGCCTTGCTAATAGAACAGAACATATAATTATCCAAATATCTAAGTTGTATATTTTGATGACTGATAAAATAAAGAATCAAAAATAAAGATAAAATCTAAATACTTAAAGTTTACAAGGAATTAAGGATGAATGTTCAGAATACTAGTAACTGATTAAAGGTCTCGTTTCAAAGGTAAACCCTAATGGTTCGCAAAAAACTAATTACCTTATTTAACTTTAAGGAAATTTCTTTAGAGAAAGGACTAGTACTGGTGGTGCTTACATAAACTAATAAAATGGCCTAACCTCGGTCTTGTTGAGTTGAACTGGACTAACTGAAAGGACAGGAGAAATGTTGATGTAGCAATTGTCCAACATGGTTTTAGGGGACAGTTCTTGGATGCAACCATTCATAAAGACATATTACTTTAAGATGGATGGTCTCTTCATTGGTTCCATAAAGACCAAACAAAGATGGATGGAAAATGAACAAAACAAAACAAAAATCCACAAATGATCCAAATTTTATGGTCTTAAGAGAAGGTTGAAACATAGACTGACTGCTAAATCGAGAACTTTGCTCTTTTCACTCAGCTCTGTCTTAACCACGACAGACTAAGGAAATATGAACAATAGAGAAGCAGCTCCATCGATCCATCTATCAATCTCCCGCTTCATCCTCCCCTTACTTGTGAAGAGGACCCCAGAATACTTGAGCTCCTCCTCTTGAGGCAGGAACTCAAGGGGGGAGTGATGGTCTAGTGGTTAGGGCATTGCACAAAAAACAGACTACCACTCTGGGTCCCTGTGCAAAACACTCTTAACCCCACACTGCTCCCTGGGCACCACACAATAGCAGCCCACTGGGTTAAATGCAGAGGTAAATTTCTCCTGTGTGAGATCAATAAAGGTCCATTATTATTATCTTTCCTCCAACCTGAAGCGAACAAGCCACCTTTTTCCTGGCGAGAACCATTGCCTTAGACTTGGAGTAGTTGATTCTCATCCCGGTCGCTTCACACTCGGCTGCAAACCATCCCAGTGCATGCTGTAGATCTTGGCAGGAGGAAGCCAGTATAACCACATTATCTGTGAAAAGTAGGGATGAGATCTGCTGGTCTGGCTGTGCCTAGAAACAGCACCAGTGACAGAGGACAGGATTGTCAGAGTCCAACGGGCACCAGGAACAAGTCCAACTTAATGCTGGCAATGCGGACCAAACTCATGCTCTGGATATACAGACTGAATAGCACCTAGTTAAGGCCCCAGACTCCAGGTCAACAAAACACATGTGGACCAGTTGGGCAAAATCCCAAGCTCCCTCAAGAACCCTGCAGAGAGTGTAGAGTTGCTCCACTGTTCCACAGCCAGGATGAAAATCACACTGCTCCTCCTGAAGCCGGGATTCAACAATCAGCCAGACTCTCCTCTCCTGGGCGCTGCTCTAGGAGCTCTTGGTCAGAGACGTGTTCAACTCCCTCCTCCGGGAGAGCTTCTCCCAGATTGTGGGGGAGGCTAGAGACATGGAGTATGAGTCGGCCATTTTCTCTGCCTCCATTGTCTCCAACTCCATCGTTCTGTTTGTCTAATTTCTTCCTCAAAAGTATATGCGCTAATCAGCACGTAGGAAGCTCCCCATATCAGGTACTGATGATGGACAGTAAAAGCAGCACAGGTGTGTTTGAGATACTAAAACCTTTTTTTTGTCTAGAAGTCTTTCAAGAAAGAGATCTCACCAGTATAGATTAGCAAGACATACATGCATCCATTCAAAACGCTTAATGATTTATGGTACTTAACAAGCAGAGACAATTACTAAATTAGTTAACATAGTATAGCAGGATTGCTCTTTATCTACATCCAGTTTGTTTTTTTAAAACATCCGTTCATAAATATAGTATTAAAATGTGGTTGAGCCAGTATGGTTTTAATTCCTTTAGATTTTTGCTAAGTGTAGGTACAGCTTTTAAGCATATTGGGTTTTGGTACCAGCAGCTGAACTGAACTTGCATAAAGATATATTTTTTGGAACAATGTCAAATCTGGCCTATTGCACTATAAGCCCATAAACTTTGTTTCAGCTTCTTTTCAAATAATGATTGCTCGCTATGGGGTTGGATATAAAATTAATTTTGTTTTCCTGAAATGATTAGATGGTTTTCTAACATCGCTGATGTAAGTTGTGGAGATATGTATTTAGCTGTTTGCTAACTGTGTCTGTATTTAAACCAGACACAAAAAGCACTGTGTCATCAGCATACATACAACAAAGAGCTTGTATCTTTAAGCACTTGAGGAAGGTTGTTTAAGCAAATCTGACAGTTTTATTTTCATCTGCGTTAGTTTGTCTGTCTGTTTGTTTGTTTATTTGTTTGTCTAGAGGTATGTTACTGAAGACAAATGCAATAAAAGGGAGTCTTGTTGGTTTGTTAGCAGGATCAATTGAAAACTGAATTGAATTTAAAGACATTTCTACCAGAGGTGATGTCCACCTAGTGCTGAGAGACTGCTCTACCTTCAGCGACTCTGTCCAGCATGACGGTGACCTTCTCATCCTGACATACGTGCTGTTTGAGAAAGCTTATGAAGATGCCATTCGACACATCATCTCTCTTTACTTCATACGCTTCGGCATCAACACATCTAAACATAGAAAATTACACACAAGTTACAAGAAGGACATGCTGGAAAAACTTTTTTGATTAGAATAACAACATATGCAACTTACGTGGCATAACCAAACACTATATTGGCTGTGACTTTGAGCGTTCCTGGTTTTACAATCAAATCATCATTTGGATTTCTGGGAAAAGATGTGATTTCAAGAGTAAACCTCACAGTGTATGAAAACAATATTATTTTTAAAGACTGACCTATTGGTATACCTTTTGCGACACATGTCCAGCAGGAACACATTGAGTCCAGTCTCTTTCTCCTGCATCCTGGTCAGTATGTTTTGCACACACAAGCAGTGCTCGGATGTGTAGGAAGCTGGTGCATCTATAGGAACCATGAAACTGTTGCCATAGTTCTCATAGCCATGACCGGCAAAATACAGCAAGCCTGTAGAAGTAATGGACAGAAACAAACAAACGCAGCATAGGTGAAAAATTAACAACCAGCTACATTATATTTGACAAACATTATAACATTAAATTTATTTATTTCAGCTGTTCTTTGTCCTGGTTGGAATAACTGTAAAACAACAAGTTATATTAATACACAAGAATTAGTGCACAACTTTGACGTTATGGTGGATCCTCTCAAATAATACACACAATTAGCATAATTATACTGTTTATAGATCCCCATATAATATTTAAGTAAATTTAATTTGTATATATCAGAAAGCTTCAGGTCTAATTTTTAATATATGATTACTTAAACTTATCAGGAGAAAGCAGAGCTCCAAAAGTTGGTTGTTTTTCCAGCCATAGTCCTGGCTTTTAAAAAACAGCCCTTTACTTTCAGTAAGACTGAGACCAGAATCGCTCCAGATGCTTAATATTAGTGTGCTTTGTCTAACGTGAGACCAAAAATTATTTTCCCTTAACACACAGCTGCATCCAAGATTCACCCAAAATATCACACTAAGTTAAACGGGAATCAGCTTTGATTGTTAGAAAAAACATTAGGACACAAAAAAGACAAGGCAAGGCTTCTGAACTGAAGAAACATTGTATCAGCTATTAAGCATGGTGGTGGTAATATCATAATGTAGGTCTCTGCTTCACTACCAGCATGTATCTGGTGAAATAACAAAGGAAGAACCATCATAAGGTCTTAAACAGATTACATTTCCGCACACAATGACCTTTAACCTTCTTAAATGGCTTCCCCAATCCAGACCTCAACCCCATTAAACCTTTGTGAACTACATTCAAAAGTCTGTTTAAGGACAAAAACAAATGAAAGAGGTGGAAAATTTCTACACAGTAAAATACCAGAGGCCTGTTGTATGGTATAAAAAAACACATGTTAAAGGTGCTACTCAATTACTATTAATAGGGATGTGTGTGTTTGAGTTTGTATTTATAAATGTCACCAGGGGTGTATTAGAGAAAATCCATTTACAATTAGATACTAACTAAAAACAAAATGTTCAAACAGATCATATAAAATGCTAAACTTTTTTGTATCCATGTCCATGATGCTATGATGAGCTGGTGAATACTTGTCAAGGTCTTTGAACGTTTCAATGAATCTTAACCAAAACAAATCCTGAACTTATCCTAATTTTAATCTAGCTGGACATGGACTTTAGAGACAAATGGACTGACCATAAACGCCCTTGTCGAGAAGCAACAGGAACTCATTGACAGCGCTGTTCATTTCCTGACAGTTGAGGTCGATCAGAGAGACCACTTTGAAGTCCATCTGTCTGAGAAGGTTGGTCAGCTCGTGGACGTCAGAAATGGGAGCGCTCAGCTGACAGTGGTGGAGGTAGTTCATGTTTCCAATCAGGAGAGCAACTTTGTCTGTGGCTGAGAGCATGATTGTGGCACCATGAAACCTGCGACTTTTAATATGAAGGTTCTCTATACAACTTATTGGTGTCAAACTAACCATAGAAATTCTTGGCTGCTGAGGGAGGAGAGGCCGTCGGCGGCAAAGGATGTATCTGCCTTTGGCCTTCTGAGGAATCTGGCAACATTAAAAAAGCAAAAAAGAAAAGATTGATATAACTTTTATATTATAGTTTTGACAAACATAATATGCATAGAAAAAAACAGGAATAAAGGTGTAATAAATGACAGAGGAAGTATATAACTGTTGTAGTTCCTCTATTTCCTTTGAATATTCTACCCAAAATTACGCATACCAAACCCACGACCATCTTCTACCCAGGAGGCATCTATGACTGAACTCGGGCCTGCATGAAAGTACAGAAACAGAAAGAGTTAGCTGTTGTAAATTCAACGTGAAACTAAAAATTTGCATTGTCACTTATTCGTTGCACAACCTGATATTAAAAGTATACTGTTGGAATGGCTCAAATGTGAAACTTTTATTTTTTTAAATGTAAAGAACAAAGGGGAGAAAACAGTATCCATATTTCACCAATTTTCACTGTTGCTGTCTCGCTCCATGCTTCGTGATACAAATTAAACGCCTTGCATCTGTACTCTCCTCTGTGCTGTGTGGTCACACATGGGATCTAAGAAACAGTGATTACACATTTTAGGCTTGACATCACTCTGGAAAGTTTTAAATGTAAGCCTGTTGCAACAGCTCCACCAACACTCAAGACAATCACAATAAAACCGAAACTACACACAAAGTTAAAAAGAATATGTGAAAGCAAAGAGAAAATTGAGAAAAAAATGATTCCCAATTTACAATAGTGATATAAATTATGAAAAATGTATATTTTTTCATAACTAATGTCAGATATAGAAATGTTATCCATTAAACATGCCTGATTTATGTCTTTGCTTTGCAGAGTCGACATTCAGCTAACACAGTCAAATCGCCACTGTCTTATCTAAAAGGTTATAACAATGGTTAGAGCATCTAATATAGCTTTTGCTTACCTTCTATTTAAATGGAAAGAACCTCCATTTTTTTACAACTTCAGACCTGTTTCTAATTTACTATGTAAGGTAATTTTTGTTTAAAAAAAAACAAACATTAATGTCTGTCCATTTGCTTTATCCAGAACTCCACAAGTGGAAAAGTTTTAATTTTACCCGGTTTAAATCTGTAGAAATCTTCTATAAGGAACCTTTTGCTATCTGATTATTAATCAAATAATAATCATCAAAATAATCAACAGATTAATTGATTTGCAAAATAATTGTTAGTTGCAGCTTTACATTATGCATAAGCACCTAACATATGCATATAACATATACAACTTCCTTGGACGTAAGCACATAACACATACACAAAAACATATACATAGACATGTAAACATATTTTTGGCACTAACGGAACCCTATAGAATATGAATCTTTTTCTCTCCATCTAACTTCCATGCAATTATGAAACTATATGGCTATAAAAGTTTTTTTGGTTGTAAAAATTCACAAAAAAGCATTAATAGTTTTACAGGCACATTATTAAACATTATCTTACTGTATGTGTAGGTGTTTGACATTACTTACCCTGAGGGAGCATGTTTTTTGATCAGGTATGGGCCTTTTGTTGTGATACCACTCATACTGTGGAGGGGGATTAGCTTCTGCTGTGCATTTCAGGACCAGATTATCCCCCTCAGATGCCAATTGGGACTGAGGATGCTGGCTGATACGCAGTCCACTAACTGAGCCTGGAAACAGACTGCTGCACCCTGCAATGACAATGGTTTACCAGCATGTTGGATATACGCTGTGAGACGGGGAGAGACCAGGAAAAACAGCAAGTAGGAAAAGGAATACCTGGAGTGGAACCAGCAGAGTGAAGCAGTCGAACATGAGCCCACATGGAGAAGATGTAGTTCTCTCCATGGTTGATTCTACAGATATAGTAACCTTGGTGGGCGGGGCCTAAAGGACACAGAACCAACTCTGGCAAACTTCCCGTTTCATGTAAAATCTAAAGCAAGAAGAGAATCAACATGGGTTAAGAGGAGAATAGAAGCACATTAATTGATTGGTGAAACTGATGTATTAACTGTTGCTCTAACCTCTTCTTTTCCTTTGAACCACTGATAGCTGAGTCCAGGAGGTCCAGATGCCCTGCATATCAGCACCACCCTGCTCCCCAGAGAAGCCTGCTGAGACTGTGGCTGCACAGTGATCTTAATCTGCTCCGACACTAACAATTAACACACAACATGAATAGTAAGGAGTACAGGAAGGAACAAACTGCAGGTATTTCAAGTAAGACATGTACCAGCAAAAAATGTTAAAACATCTCATTATTTCAAACATGTGCCAACTTGTGAGCAGTGTGATAATCCATCTTTAAAAGTCAAACTTGACAAACTATCAGGGATTAGCTCTTCACACCTTAAGGATTTTAAAGTGTGTACCACTAAAGTTGTGATCATTAAGAACATTTACCGTATTTTCACGACTATAAGGCGCACTTAAACGTCTTTTTTTTCCCTCAAAATGTGCGGTGCGCCCTATGGTGCGGTGCGCCCTATGTGTGTTGTAACTGCGACTTTTGAGACCACCTCATTGAGGAGATGATGAAAGAGTGGCTGAATGTAAGGAGACCAGGTGTTTTTTTTCCACTCATCACCATTAATCTGTAACTCCATGCGTGCCCATCTCACAGCTGATGTGAAAAACATGGGGAAACAAATTAACGCTGTGCTCGCTGTTCAACCGCTCGACATCGGTGTGAACCGGACCCAGCAGGTGCAGCAGAAGCAGCGAGTTTACATGCAAAGTCAATGGTTGACGCGCGTATAGGCGCAGCAAAAGGTCCCGCAGCGCGTTTTGGTGCAGCACGTCGGGAGCGTTTAAGCATCTGATGCACCGCCAACGCGCTGCTGCTGCTCAGATGGAAAAATTGAAGTTTTGCTGCTGGACGCGCCGCATCAACCAATCAGAGAAGCTGATCTGGGAGCTGGCAGCGAGACAGACAGCGCTCTGATGACATATGATATTAACGCAAATGAAAAGGCTGGGTGAACGCTGTGCTTGCCGTTATCCCGGGGGTCTGACAAAGGAACTTCCACCGCTCGACATCGGTTTGAAGCGGCCGTTCACAGTAAGGCTGTGAGCGGCGTGGGAGCGATGGATGACAGACTGAGACCACAGTTTCAGGATAAATGGAAGGCAGTAACAAGTGAAAAATATCTTTATTTCCACGCCTAATGTGTTGGTAATGAGGCGGAGCTGAATGCGCGCTCCCGACGCAGGGGATACAAATTATGTCGGGGATAACTCGTTTGGCACGACACCTGTCTGCGGATGGATTGTAGATGGACTGTGTCTGCTGGCTCTGTTGTTCAAGCTTTTGCAAAAGCCGGCATTATTTCTGAGGAGCTGCGCTGCACGGAAAGTGACTCTGACAGCGAAGAAGGGGAAACTGGCATGTCTGATTTAGCGCAGCTGTTTTATTCAGAGGAATGCTGAGGATAACAGAGGATGATGACTTTGATGGGTTTGATTAATACTTTGTAATAAATACATGAATAAAGCACAATCATACTCAGGTTTGCTCCCGCTCTATTTTTCTCCCTGAAAGCTTAATTCAATGGCAGCCTCTGAGCGCGTCTCCTCCGCTTCACCGCGGTGGCTGGCAGGTGTTTTTTCATCTAAATAATCTAAATCTTGCAGCTATATTTGCTGTGATCAGTGGGAATAAATAAGTATAAATATGTTTTTAAGTGAGAAAGGCCACCTGAAAACTTAATAATTGCAGTCAGTTCATCCAGATTATCTATTTCTGTCGGAGGCGCTCAGACCCCCACATACCAGCGGTGCGCCGACAGGAGAAATCCTTTCGTTCACCGCGGCTGCTGGCAGGTGTTTTTCATCTAAATAATCTAAATCTTGCAGCTATATTTGCTGTGATCAGTGGGAATAAAGTAGTTTTAATATGTTTTTAAGTGAGAAAGTCCACCTGAAAACTTAATAATTGCAGTCAGTTCATCCAGATTATCTATTTCTGTCGGAGGCGCTCAGACCCCCACATACCAGCGGTGCACCGACAGGAGAAATCCTTTCGTTCACCGCGGCTGCGGGCAGGTGTTTTTCATCTAAATAATCTAAATCTTGCAGCTATATTTGCTGTGATCAGTTGGAATAAAGTAGTTTTAATATGTTTTTAAGTGAGAAAGTCCACCTGAAAACTTCATAATTGCAGTCAGTTCATCCAGATTATCTATTTCTGTCGGAGGCGCTCAGACCCCCACATACCAGCGGTGCGCTGACAGCAGAAATCTCTTCATCAGCAGCCTGTAGGCTGCTGATGAAGGTGCTGGCAGGTGTTTTTCATCTAAATAATTTTAGCTGCAGGCACCAGGATACCGGCAATAAAAGCGAACATATTCCGTCAGCAGGTTTCAGGATTTTAAGTTAATTTAGGAGTTATCACAGCGCTGTGTCATCTGTCTCATGGCCAGCTGCCAGGTTTGATTATTACTTTGTAATAAATACATGAATAAAGCACAGTCATACTCAGTTTTGCCCCCGCTGTATTTTTAAATACGCAGTAGAGGTATTTAAAGGTAGTAGAGGACTTGTACCTGTATATAAAAAACGCGCCCTATAGTCCGGTGCGCCTTATGTGTGTGTTAAATACAGAAATGGGACACATAACTGAGAGTGCGCCTTTTAGTCCGGTGCGCCTTATGGTCGTGAAAATACGGTACATTATTTTAAGACAGCAAAAGCCTAAAACCATACGTACTTTTCTACAAAATTTATAGGAGAATTGTTGATCGGTGCCTTAAGTTTGTAAAAGGAGAATGATTTTGCCCATTTATGCCCATTGTCTGTTTCCAGAAGCCCAATCTCTAGCAGAAAATGTGTGTTCTTTTTTTAAATAAAAAAAAAGTCTTTAATTGCATTAGACTAATAGCGAAACTCAAAAGTAAAAATCTTAACCTTAAGTTAAAATACTTTCATTTATTCAGACTTCCCACATTCAAAAACAATTGTTTTTATTTATTACAAAACTTCCCTTCCATTTACAGGCACTCTTCTAGATTCCTATTAAATGTTACCAAAACATTTTACTCCAATTTCTTTTCAAAGGTCAGAGTGCCTTTGAAATTTTTGTGATTGCCTGTTTCCCCCAGAAATACAACTGATGTGACACACATCTACTGTTAAGAAAATGTAAATATTCTCCTTTCTATGAATCATTCCTATTTGTATTAAATATATAAAGTCATACAGTATTTCTGTTTCACTTCATAATGAGGTTGTGCACTACTTTGAGTTGCTCTATCACAAAAAACAAACAAACGTGATACCGTATGTTTGTTTTTGGTATGTATGAAAATGTAAAAGTAAATTAATTTCAAAAAAGAGAAAAACAAGTAAATGTTTGTAAGGAACTGTATGTTGATCTTTCAGCAAATGAATGCCTCACCTCCCCCCTCTGTTTTACCGACCTGTGGTGGAGAGGAACTGCAGAGCTTCCTGGTGTTCCATCTTCCTCAGACAGTAGAGGAGGAAGTCCACAGAGCATCCACGATCTGCTAACCAAGCCAGAAGGGTACGGGCAGGACTGCCTGCAGATTTCAGAACCTGAAGGGAGCAGCTGGTCAGCTCCATTTCACTACAAAGAGAGAGAGGTGGTCTGGATCATCTGAGCAGGAGGGGTCAGAACCTCAAAAATGAATCAACAAACACACTACAAATTCATATAAGAATCTAAAAAAAAAACTGAGGAAATAAAAAATTAATTTTATGCAAAATGTTTATTGATAAAAGTAGGTCAGTAATGACAAAGGAAAAGATTTACGTCCCAGAACTCAAAACTGAAACAATTCTATCCACTATACCTTTTATTTAGAAAGCACAGATGTTTAAATATCTATTTGTTAACAAAGGCTGCAGGAAAGTATAGGTTGCCTTTATTTAGAAAATATTGTTTTTTTTCACATTAATTTTCCTGTTGGAACAGTGTAGATTCAGAGGCATAGCCACAAAATTTTAATAGGGGTGGCCAGTCAAAAACCAATGTAAACTGAGGGGTGGCCGAAAGCGGCTAGGCGCCAGAACCTCAGGGTCCATCTACACTGTTCCAATAGGAACGAGCACAACATCCATAATTTCTAAATAAAGACAAACTATACTTTTCCACAACAAATAGATGCATATATTTAAACATCCATGCTGTCTAAATTAAAGCTATAGTGGACAAAATGTCTGTAGCGAACATCTTTTCCATTGTCATTACTTACCTACTTTTATCAAAAATTGTTCTGCATAACATTAATATCACATGTACTAAAATCTACATTAAATAGATTTTTAAGTTATTATTAAAGTAGTTATTGATCTATGATTTCACTGAAAACTCCTTGATGACTTGCAGAGACACATAATTTTCTCTTTACCCCATATAACACAAAAGAGAATGCATTTTGTATATATCAACTTTAATGTTTGTATTTTAATGTGCATAATTAACCACAGCGTTTTAGTTGTCAAGTAACTATTGATATATGAAAAATTTAAATGTCTAATAAGTTTAAAAATTCCTTTTGTTAGTAATACTGCTGCCACCGTCTGTATTAGAGGGCGAATAAAAATGGTAGGGGTGGCCAATGACTGGCTAAGGGTGGCCATGGCCACCTCTGGCCCCCCATCTAGCTCCGCCCCTGTGTAGATTGACCGGGAGGTTCTGGTGCCTGTTCACTTTCGGCCAATAACCAATGTACCCCTCACCCTCAGTGTACATTGGTTATTGCCTGGCCCCCTTATAAAAATGTTCTGGCTACGCCTCTGGATACAGAGAATATATGATGCCTTCAGGGTCACTCACCTGCATTGGAATTGTGGCTGTTCCGCCGCCGCGTTTGCCAGCTGCCTCCATCCACAACTGCAGTTGTCCAGCAGCTTTGACAGCTTCGTCAACCCTGCTTCACCGAGACTGGTGATATTCATTGTTTTCCAATCTTCTAACTCCTTAGCTACCCTTTCCAACATACCATAAAAAGGCACAGATAGACAACAAATTAAAATGAGACACGTTGGTACTAAAAAGAGCCGCGGTGATTCCTCTCTGAGAAGTGATTCACTAACAGTAAGAGCGAACTAACGAACTAAAAATGAATGGTCTCTAATCACAAAACCAACCCACGGACACCGACACTTTAGAAAACTACAGGCTTAAAACACAACTCTGGGATTTCCCAAGTTAAGACGTTATTGTGATTAGGCTGTAACGTAACAGGCTGAAGAGCAACAACAAATGTTGAAGTAACAACAAATAAGACAAAATATGAAGTTAAACCAGAACAAGCTGAACAATCTGCAGCTGGGCTGCCGCTTCCGCCATGAGCTGAGCTGAATATCTTGAAGTAAAGTAGGGGGAAAAAAGTGAAAGTTTACCAAAGCGTCCGAGCCGGGAGGAAACCCTGAGCGCGTGTGACCGTGGGATGGGTGGCCTGGGAGTCACGCAGGTGTCCGGGACATTTTTACACGCTGGAGGCTCCCCGATCTGAAGAGACAACTAGGTTCCCCAGATACTCTGCTTCTCATTTCGGTTCCTCTTTCTTTCTGCCATCCCTGGCACGTATGACTGTCATTTGCATGAAGCGTTTCTATGGTTACGCCTTTCACAGAGCCCCACAACAGAGAAAATAATTATTTAGGGCGTTTTTATTTTTTCCCATGTCTCCATAATAAATTTTTTTTTTATAATAACCTGGTAAGTTTATTTGTTCATAAGCACCTTTTTCAACAATCTTAAACATTAACAAGTTGTACAGCTCTTATATTGTGTTTTTTTTATTTTTTTTATTTGATGGGTTATTCTACCACATCTGCTTGTTTTGATCTAACCCAGTTATTTATGGCTTATATGTTGCACTGGTCTTATACTGGAAGAAGAACCAGTCTCAGGTCCTTTGCAACCTTTAAAAATATTTCCTTCCAAGCTTTAGACCTCTTGATGAATAATCCCACAGCATGATGCTGCCACCATCATATTTCACTTAGATTATATCCAGTGTTGGTTTCTTGTTGAGTAATGCATTTTTTCCTTCTTCAGTTAATAAAGTGACATTTTTACATTTTGTATAGATAAGGATCCTGCTTCATAACCTTACCCTGCATGAGACTTCTACACAAGGGTATTTCAAATATTTCTGATGCATTCCTCATTGTCCGTTATATAGCATCTAGACTGCTTTCCAACAATTTTTGACAGAGTAGCTGCAATAAAGTGTTACTCAGGTGGCTTTTTTTCATAAAACACAAAAATATATGTAGATCAAAGGGTTGTTCTTGATTTTAGTTCACAGGCATTAAAGTAAAGGGGTAAGGTGTCAATACTTATTTTGCAAGACAAATAAAGAAAACACCTCTTGTCATTTTCCTTTACAGTTGTCAAATGATTTGTGCTGCACAACCCCAAATGTACTACTTTCTTGGAGTCAATTACTTTATAATAATTTCTAGAGGTGGGATTCTAATCGCATAATTAATTTACATTGTCTGAAACACACAGGGCTTTTTGCAAAGTTAAAAAAAGGCACAATCACTATGGTTTATGAAAGAAAAGCAGAACAAGCACAAAAGTGAAAAGACACGCTTTAAGGTCCCATCTTTTATTATAACAGTAGATCTTGAGTTTTAGTACTTGACTCCACCGCCACTTTTGTGCAGCGCCTTCCTAACAGAATAAAGGAAAGAAATCACTTCTGTTCATCTTCTGACTACAATAACCATGCTGCAGGACAAGTGCCAAATAGATTCCCTCATTACAGACATTAGTTACATAGAAACGTCCCATCACTTTCATAGTTATTCATCCCCAGCTGTGAAGTGTGTCGCTCAAACAGACGGAAGCCAAATGTCAGTCCAGTGAAGGGTCTACAGCTTCTTCCCTTTGTGCAGTCTGTTGTAGCGCCAAATGTTCTCCTTCCTCAGACGTTTCCAGTACTCCCAGGTGTCAGGTTCCAGCTCGTGCAGCTTTTTGGCTTTCCCCAAGTCCAACTGGAACAACCTGAACAAGTAAAAAGAAAAGGAGGAAGAAGGAAAGACGTGACAAAACTTCAACTATACCGACTAAGACTGGTTTCTTCCAACAAGTGACTTTGTGATGTCTTTCAAAATAAATTTGTGATGACTGCAGTAATTCTAACATGATTAGAATCAGCTTTAATGGTGCAGTTTGTGTTCACAAACTAGGAATGTCACTTCTGCTTTCCATCACTCACATTGTTATCAACAGTTCACATTTTTATAGCCTTATCGGTATAAAGGACAGGTGTGTGTTTACAGTACATTTGCTTTATAAAGAAAAAAGAAAGGCGAGTGATGGAAATGCGAACATGTTTGTTAAAATATTGATATACATTTTAACTTAAATGAAGACATGAATACAGTCCTCTCTTGTCTGTTTTCCAAACTTCTTCTTGCATCTTTGAAAAAGGGTAACAAACCTGCAAATCAAATAAAGCTTTCTACAGTAACAAAATTAGTTATGTAGATGTAGCTATTAACAAGTATACATATTTATGCTAACCTAGTATTCAAAGGGAGATAATAACTGAGGTTCTCTTTTTTGGTGATGTCACCAGCTCTACTGATATCCACTCGCCAGCATTCTTGGTGTTTTATCATTGTAGATATTCTTATAAAGCTTGTTTGTCTCACAAGTCAGTTTATGCATTTTAAAGCAATCTTGATATTAAAGGTAATTAAACTGATAATACTTAATAAAAGATTAAAATAATAATAAATGGATTTTGAAGACGTTTTGATTCACATCCAGGAAGCTTTTCCAATTAAAAATGTAAATAATTGAAAGTTTCCTGGATGTGAAGAGAAATGTCTTCAAACCTGGAAACAAAGTTTAGTGGATTGTTTTTTAACTTTTTTGGAATGACTATGACTTGGAATGACTGAGAATCTTCGCTAGCATACGACATTAATACGCATTAATAAACAACAAGTGGCACATTTCATTTCTCTAAGGAAACCTTTAACAGCCTATATTGTAATGGGACACAGAACAATTACAGAAAGAGAATTCCAGACCAACAGTAGGAAACAGCAGCCAAAGTGCTATGCAAAGAGTTTGCATTACAACTATTGTAAACAGAGAGCCTCCAATTAAAAGCAAGAGGTTGTTTTATTTTCAGTTTAATTATAATAGACAAAAATAAAAAAAAATCTTAACCGGATACCACGACCAAGACAGACCTTGGTTATCCTATTGAGCTTAAAAGGTTAATGGTTAAAAGCCATCAAGACGACAAAAAAATATAAATTCAGACAAAAAAATCTAAAGAAATGCTAAGATTTTTCCTTAGCGATTAACACTTTTTATGAGGAAAAAGTACCATGATGCAGCCAATGAGTGATTGAGCAGAGGTAAAAAGAAAAAAATGAACATGTGTGTAAGATAAGAACACATTAACTCACCACTCAGGATATTCCTCAGGAGGCTTTAGTTTGGGGTCCTCCCCTTGTTTGTAGATGTTCACCCCGACAGCATAGGACGTTAGTCTGACTGGGTCTTTACACACCTCTGGACCTTTCAGTTCCTCTTTCATCATGCCTTTACCTTTTCCTTTTGAAGCTAAAAGGTGGTGAACAAGGTTTGAGTTGATATGATGATGCCCAGCAACAAAACATTAACACATACACGAAGGAAATTATAAGCAATCAACCATTTAGAGCAGGGGTCTCCAACCCTGGTCCTCCAGATCTACTGTCCTGCTCCAACGCAGCTAATTCAAGTGGCTGAATGACCTTTTCATGCCATCAAGTTGGACAGAGGCCTATTAACTAGTGATGTTATGAGATGAGCCGAGGCTTCGAGGCACATGTCGAGTATTGGAGGGAGCTTTTCTGTGAGGCGTGTATCGAGGCTTGCTTTATTTGGGGGAAGAGCTAAAATAGATGACGTCCAAAGCCTCGCTACCTGCCATACCACCTGACTACTTCGGGAAGTGGTTCAGCTCACCCGGAACTTAGACAGGCATTTAAACAGCCTCTGTGTTCAGCCAAGATGTGGGAGTTTGTAGGAGAGTTGGATAGATTCTAAGAATAGATTGCTGTTTTTTTTCAACCAATCTAGTTGGTTTAAATTAGTTTGGTTAGATTAAACAATGTAATGATCAAAATCTGAGCAGGCCACTGATCATAGAAGTATTGTATTTTAAGTTGTAATGCTCTCTATAGGTATGTCACTTACTTAGTAGCGTCAGTTGTAAGAAATGTACTTCCCATCTTCGGGTTGTTGGTTCAAGACCCACCTTAGACTTTTAAAAGTTGCGATAAAACACAATAAGTGTTTTGGCTAATGTGGCTAATTTGTATTCATTGCCTCAGTATAAATATAGATTGGAATAAAAGAAACACAAAAAATTAGAAAAGATTGGTTGAACATATAACTTCCAACCCAATTAAACCAAAAAGTGTGGAAAAAACTATTATGTAATATATAAAAATAATATATTGCAAATAAAATAAATAAAAATCATAGATTATATTACTAACTGTAGTTCTACACTCCACCAGTAGGTGGTGACATGTTCATATGAGGCTTCATGAACGTTTAGGTAATTTGGCCAAACGGATGAGGTTTCATCTCACCATCACTACTATTAACGCATTTGATTCGTTTGTGTTCAAGCAGGGATTCATCTAAAACCTGCATGATAGTATTTCTAGAGCATCAGGGTTGGTCACCCCTGCTTTAGAGATAAAACAGTAACACACACAGCTGATAGAAAATGAGATAGAAATAATAATATTGGAAGGAATAGCTTTAACTGTGCCGTAAATTATAACATCCCGCATCTAAACTGATTTACAAGTTGCCCTGGGAAAATATTATGTGACTATTTATAAACAGAAGTAAGACATTAGCTTCACTCACCAACTTTCTTAGCATATCCGCATATCTGTGTTGTGTTAAACGTGTTAATTCTGCATAAAAACGCTCCAGCACCGCTTCTTATGCAATGAGCGCTCGGTTCTACTGCTGTCCGAAATAAACTGTAGGCAAACATTTTTACACGGAGTTATCTGAACACACAACAAACCATGCTACCGTTTGACATTCATTTATGTATCCGACTTCCGTTTTCTGCTTAGTTATCAGTAGATAACAATCTACAGCGCCCCTTTCGCACCGGAAGGAACATTGCAGGCAAGAAATACACGGTTTAGGGGCGTGATAATTCTTTTTAATCCAGTAGGTAGCAGCAGTGAGGCACTCGGTTACCTTAGATGAAAACAAAGGAGAAGAAGACCGCAGGAAAAGTTCTCGAAAATGTCCGAGTACGAGAAGATCCAGAAGAGCGCCCTAAAAATTAAAGGGCTGGGGGAACTTTCAGCAGGAAAGAAGTAAGTAACGTACCGTTAATGAAATCTATTAACAACTCATAACTTGGTATGTGCTTCAAACGAACTCTTTGTTGAAACGTAAGCCTCTGAAATATCGTTAGCTCTTAAGCTAACACAATAATTTCCTTTCGTCCTCACCGTGTCTAAAACGTGTTTAGCATGAAAATGACACACAAAAAACACCTCAATGTTCATAGTGCTATGGGGAAAACTAAATGTAGAGTTTTATGGGAACCTTATAATAATTTATACAAATAAACTTGCCTTGCCTTAAAATCCTGGCTATTTAGTCCTAGCAGCAACAAAGCCACTGCTATGGTCATATGGTGCGATACAGATTAGCAAAAGTCTTTACTGCTAAATTAACAACAGGCATTTTCAATGCCATGCAAGAAGCTAGGCTAGGTTAGGCCACCAAGATCCCATATCCTTCTAAATTCATCACACTTAATATTTGTGGATTAACTAACTAGTTTTATCCGTTAATCTCAAATTCTCAAATATTTAATATGATTTGTTTAAAATACCTGGCTGCGAATAGACTTTGGTATGGGTGAAGCTGAAGTAAATGTAAAAACCGTTTAAAGTGAAACAAGAGAATCTAAGTTCAGCAAACAGCTGTTTGGCTTGGGGGAAGCTGAAATAAATCTGTCACTTTCATGATTATTAAAGCTATTTGGCTACATTAAATGGAGCCATATATTACAAACAAATCTGCTCATTTAATTTGGAAAAATTGGGATTATTAGGTTACAGTGTTTACTGTCCATTTAGAAAAAAAAAAAGAAAAAACAAGTTAATCAAAAGCCATAGAGAAAAAGCTAAATATTTGCCTTTTAAATGTTTAAATATATTTTTTCACTTTTTGTTTCATTTTGAGGGGTTAATCTTACAAGCAAAAGCCAGTGAAGTAAACTATTTTAACCTGAATAAATCTGACCCAGGTTTGCAAACCTTATTTAAAGAACTTGGTGTGATAATTGTTTCGAAGTAGCATGAATCATGATATGTATATTCTTTTCTTGTTTACCAACAGGTATGAAAGAAACAAAACTTGCAACAGGAGTTTTTACCAAAATGTAATAATTCATCTGGTTCAGATGAAACTGAGGGGTGATTAGCTGTTTGTTTTTTCTTTTTTTCTTTTTTTGTAGGAAGAAGAAGAAGAACAAAGAGAGTAAACATCGCATGGAGCAGATTGTGACGGGAGAAAATGATGAGGAGGAGGTGAAGACAAAGAAAGCATACATTGACAAAAGGACACCGGCACAAATTGCTTTTGACAAGATGCAAGAAAAGAGGGTAGGTTTAAAAAAAAAAAAAACACACATCTGATATGCTATCAATGGTTATATGTAATTACCAGTGAAAAAAAGATTACAAAATTGGGTTTGGTATTATGGCTTTTATTGGTTTTTATTACAGCTGGTTCATCTGGCATGATTTTAAAGGAAAAGTCTGGTCAGCAAGGATGATCAATATATCATTATCTATACCTAGCAGTCCAGGACCGACCATTTTGACCCAAATATATTAACACCTCACTCCTAACATCTTCAGGCAGTGATGTCACAGTGCGGTAAGCCTGCAATCAACAACAATTATTTAAAACTTAAGAAAATAAGATAGAAAGAAAGAGCTATAGTTAAACTGACAATGCCCACGCGTGTGGCAGTTGGATGTTGTAATACATTCAACTGTTAAAAAAAAATTATTTCACCTTTCTGATTCACAATGCACCACGGAGGAGTTCGTCGTTGGATTGCCAACTTGAAGAGGGAGAATTTGCCATCAAACTTCTGGTCAGGGAAAAACGAGTCATATGTAGCCAACATTTAGATGAGGAATGTTTTCAAGATAATAGTTTTGGATAATAGCGCATTGTGCCAAACAACAGATACAGCACTGGGACTTGCTCAACAGCCGATACCGCATCGTGACGTCACAAACCGGTAGGTGGCAGTAGTGTTGTTTGACAGACATAGATGCCTCCGTTAAAGCACATTCAAATCAAAATTACTCTTAATTAAAAACACTTATCATTTATTGAACAGTATGTAATAATTTTATATTTAAAGTACTTTCAGAAGTTGACCGGACTTTTCCTTTAAAATGGGCATAGAAGTGTTTTGGACATGCAGTGTGCTGTCTCCAGCCACACCATTAGGACAGCCAACCACAAACTTTGCTCTCAGTGTTCTTCGAGCAAAGGATGAGCACAGACACATTTTCTGCATGATGCCAGTCTATATGTGTGACAGCAGATGCCATGCCTTGGCTAGATTGAATGGGGGGGGAGCGGTTGCGGTTTAAAAAAAAAAGTTTTTTAACCAAGAAAATACACCTCAAAATGTAATCCATGCAGATGGTTCATCAATATTATAATCCTACCTTTAGATGTAATGTTGATATTTTTAATCACCTTAGCTTTTAACTATACTTGTTCAATACAGTAACAAAATATCGACTGTCTTCCATCAAGCTCCCAGATCAGCTTTTCTGATTGGCTGAAGTTCAGATTTTCAAACTTTAACATCTTATTCTGAAAACATCTGACTCGAGGGACACCAGACACACGACAGGATATCAGGCCAAGACAATCCAACTTTTTGGATTTCCTCGTTCCTCGTTGTAGTATAATATTGGGAATAAAAATTCTTATTTGAACACTTTTCACTCTTAAAGGGAAAAAAAGCTTTCCAAAACCATCTGTAAAGAAGTTCCAGGTCTTTAGCCTCATCAGTCAACCATGAAGTTTTTGTATGAACAGGTAATAGTTATTTTATAATACAATTCAGGCATTTTATTCCAATTTTCTTTGCATAAACATTTCACTAAAGGCTGGTTCACACTTCAAGATAATAACGCCGACTTCCCATTCCGCGGTTGGGAGTTTTAGCCTGATTTTTTTTTTTTTAACAGAATCCTTAGTGCGATCTGTTCATGCTTGCTATCTGTACCACATACCATGTGAGAAAATCTGTTTCGCCCTCCTTTTTTTATTTCAATAGTTACCTTTGGAGTCTCTCGGGCTTTCAAAATGTTAACCAACCTTCAAGTAACATGAAAGGGTTTTCAAATATGACTGGCCTGTTTATGGTGGTGCTGCTAAATTTCAATCTTATTTACATTGATTAACTCATCATTTAACAAATGGGGGGTGGTTAATTTTCTGACTTAGTGCCAGGTTTGGCAGGATGGCTGTCCCCCTTAATAAAGATCATACTGGTAAACTGTATGTTTTTCCCTATGGTTTTTAGTCTGATATTGACATTTGTTTGATCTGAAACGTATTTAGTGACAAATGGCTCAAAAGACCAGATGTTTAAGTAGCAACTTATTTTCCAAATCAGTCGTGTCAACAAACCCTTTACCCTCCTCAAAATCAAATAAGTTTAGATAAACTCGTGCAATAAGAACTTTAAAGCCATGAATACATTCTAAAGGTTAAATTGCAGAAATCCTGCCACAGCTGATATCTTCTGTTATCTCAAAAAACAAATGTTTATGTATTAACTTGTCAACCATTGTTGTTCTGTTTAGAGGGCATCATTTTGGGTAAATTCAGCTTATTCTCTGTCTCTTTTTACAGCAAATGGAACGAATTCTGAAGAAGGCATCAAAGACACACAAGCATAGAGTTGAGGTGAGTTATCTGGTGCAGGTTAAATGCATTTTACTTCTCAGAAAAGAATACTTTATATTCATTTAGAGAGAGACTCACCATATGGATATATTTTGTGTATCTGTTTTATTCTTTTTTGACTGAATATCTCATGGCTTAATGTACCATATGTTTACATAATGTAAAACAGGATTTTTAACTTAAGATTTGATTTCTTTATAGGATTTCAATCGCCACCTGGACAACCTTACAGAGCATTACGATATTCCAAAAGTCAGCTGGACCAAGTAAAAAACAAGCCTTTTTTTTTTTTTTTTGTATGTTTTTGAAACTTTTTCCTTGCATGTTTATGAAATGCCCTTTTAGAATTAAAGTGGCATTTATTCCCCCAGTTGTTACTTTTCCTGTACACAATAAACTATTTAACGTTTTAATGTGTGGTGTGTTTCTCTCTCTATCAAACATGTGCTTCAGGGATTTTTTCTAATGTTTGAATGGAAACATGTCATCAGGGTACTTTTTATTTTAGTTATTCAACCAGACACTGCAAATATGGCACTCTGCATATTCTGTAAACCTGAAGAAAAACTGTACTGCCATTCATATTAACAGGAAATATTTTACTTAAATACATATTTGTATGAATTAACGGATTCACTGACACCATGATGGGATGCAGTGGTTATCAAATCAATCCGTTGAGTTTTAAGACTCAAGTTATGAAAAAAACAAACTTATATCTGGCAAGAGAGGTAAGAATTTAGAAAGGTTCATGAACTTCCAACGTGCTGTAGTGTACTCAGAGTTCACTTTGGCCCGAGCATTTCAGCAGGCTTCACCCACTGATCAAACTGCTCCTCGGTCAGGTAGCCCAGCTCCACGGCCACGGCCTTCAGCGTGGAGCCCTTCTTGTGAGCGGTCTTGGCGATGGTGGCCGCTTTATCGTAGCCGATGTGCGGGTTGAGGGCGGTGACCAGCATGAGCGACTCGTTCATCAGCTTGTTGATCCTCTCCGTGTTGGCCTGGATGCCCACCACGCAGTTGTTGGTGAAGGACACGGACGCGTCTCCGAGCAGGCGTGCGGAGTTCAGCACGTTCTTCACCATCATGGGTTTGAACACATTGAGCTCAAAGTGTCCGTTACTCCCTCCCACGGTCACGGCCACGTGGTTCCCCATCACCTGGGCCGCCACCATGGTCATGGCCTCACACTGGGTGGGGTTCACCTTGCCCGGCATGATGCTGCTGCCTGGCTCGTTCTCCGGTAGGATGAGCTCCCCCAGGCCAGAGCGGGGTCCTGACCCCAAGAACCGGATGTCGTTGGCGATCTTCATCATGCTGACAGCCACCGTGTTCAGAGCTCCACTCAGCTCCACCAGAGCGTCATGAGCTGCCAGAGCTTCAAACTTGTTTTGGGCTGTGATGAATGGGAGGCCGGTGAGAGAAGCGACTGTAGCGGCGACCTTCTCGGCGAAGCCAATGCGGGTGTTGAGACCTGTACCAACCGCCGTCCCCCCTGCTGCCAGTTCATACACCCTGGGCATGGCAGCCTTCACCCTCTCGATGCTGTACTTCACCTGCTGGACGTAGCCACCAAACTCCTGCCCGAGCGACAGCGGGACAGCGTCCTGAGTGTGGGTCCGTCCGATCTTGATGATGTCTTTGAACTCTTCAGCCTTGGCAGCCAGGGCGTCATGCAGGGTCTGCAGGCCAGGCAGTAGGACATGGTGGACCTCAGTGGCTACAGCTATGTGCATGGCAGTGGGAAATGTATCATTGGAGCTCTGACTCTTATTAACGTGGTCATTTGGGTGAACTGGATCCTTGGAGCCCAGTTTCCCCCCTAGTATCTCAATGGCCCTGTTGCTGATCACCTCATTAACATTCATGTTCGTCTGAGTTCCTGATCCAGTCTGCCACACCACCAGAGGGAAATGATCATCCAGTTTACCTGCTGAAACCTCATCTGCAGCCTTTATGATTGCATCTGCTAGCTTAGGGTCCAGGCCGTAGTCCTTGTTCACTTCAGCGGCCGCTCTCTTCAATATACCAAAGGCCTTGATCACCTGGATTGGCATTCTCTCACTGGGTCCCCCGATCTTGAAGTTCATGGTGGATCTGACCGTCTGGGCGCCGTAGTACTTGTCAGCAGGGACCTTGAGCTCGCCAAAAGTGTCCCGCTCAAGCCTGAACTCTGAGCCGGCCATCTTGGAAGTACAGATCAGGAGTTTAGAGTTGGCGTGGAGTTTTTGCAGGGTCAGGAGGTTGCAGTTAAACTGCCGGACGCTTTTTAATGAGCGAAACATGGCTTCTCATTAGAGGTGAAATTTAGGGGGAGGTCAGCGCAGCTTTCCACATTGTAACCTGTCATTGGGCGACAAGAAACCGTTGAAGGCACGACAGCCAATCATGGAGCAGGAGAGGCGCGACTTCCGGCTTCGGGCGGAAGTGTAAAGCTCTTCAAAACATTGTACTCTGTCCCTTTCGATAAACAGAAAATTCAGAAAATAAAGTCAGTATTTTGTAAAAATTAAATAAATAAATACATCTTAAAGAATATTGTTGGACAAACTTTTGATTATTGTGCCTGGTTTTATATTTTATTTTATTTATTTCTCCACATATATTATTTAATACTACAGGGCAACCTATTCTGTTTTTTTATATGATTGTATAAAGTTTAATCTAAAAACACAAGCTTATGATATTTATTAATTTAATATGCACATTTTTTTTTCATATTTTATTTTAGGGGAGGTGTAATAACCACAAATTACTTATAGTTTTCATCTCCTTTTGCTGATTCAAACCAAAGTTAAACTTCCAAATACAATAAATACCAAGTATCTAAATAAGTCTATTGACAAGAAAGAAAGAAAGAAAGAAAGAAAGAAAGAGAATAAAACAAAAATATCCATTATCGTAGATAATAATACACATTATATAGTTATGTTCCCACTCCTCTGGCAGATTTGCCAGTTAGTTTTATGATTATTTTTGCATATACATGATTCCCTTCTCAGATCTAAAACAAACAGACTCAAACACATGACATCACACTTTAGTTAGTTTCAGTTATAGAAAAGTAGATTGCTGGAAATATTGTAAATACAATTATGTCCTGTCAAAGAGGAAGCCTACCAGATATGGAGCGGCAAATCATTCCAGAGTTTGGGGCTGGCTGCAGAGAAAGTTCCCTCTGAGTGTACGCTACGTTCTAGGTACTGACAGGAATAATTGATCCACTAAACTAAGAGAACAAAGTGGATTTAGGAGATCTGAAATAGATGGTGGAGCAAGGCCATTTAAAGACTAAAAAAGAATATATTTTTTCATTAATCCTGAAATTAATCAGAAGCCACCAAAGTGAATTTAAAACTGGAGAGATATGTTTAAACGTGTCCCAGTTAGAAATCGTGCAGCAGTAATTTGAACCGTCTTCCGATGGGCAATTAAAGAGTACTCACAAAGGCGTGGATCATTGTCTCCAAATGTGCTTTGCTCAGCATGAACTGTACTTTGGCCAGCTGCTGCAGCTGAACAGAACTTGATTTGACAACAACTTTGATTTGATTTTAAGACCTATATTTATGGTTATTGGCTTCACAAGCTGATCTAGATAGTCCAGAAGTAAAGGTAGACTGTCTGAAGTACTTCAAAAAACCATCACTTCTGTCATTTTTATGTAGGTTACATGTAGTGGAAGTTCTGGAAAAACAGGGAATCGGGGTGAGGGTGGGGGGTCTAAAATTAATGTTATATCAAGTGAGACTTAATATAGCTGAAGCTTAAAGGTGATTGAACTTTTCAAACAACTGATAAAGTAAATTACAAAGGTGAATAATAAATTTGTCTAAGGGATGGATCACTTATATATCTTTTGAAAAAATTCTGCTCAAAATAAGTACACTGAAATTACACTTTGTAAACTCTTTTGAAATTATTAACTATATTCTCAAAACAAGAAGGTAATCAATCTCAAAAGAAAATTAAAACATCTTTTAGACACTTCCAGTGCAGTCCCTTCTGTCACTGCATATATATATATATATATATATATATATATATATATATATATATATATATATATATATATATATATATATATATGAATTAAATTGCAAAAACAAATCTGAAAAAGTTAAAATATATTAATATAAGCATATTTTGCCTTAAACGGAGCAGCAAAAGGAAGATATTTACATAATTAAATAGCTGAGATTTTTTCTATGTTAAATGTAAATCATCTTATTCCATTAGTAAATGCTCTTATCTACCCGCTCAGTCGAGGTAAAATACACATTTTTCAAGAAATAAATATTATTTTTTACAGTGTATTCTTTCAGTGCTTTTGCCCCCTGTCAAAAACTACCCATTGTTACATTGTTTAAAATGATTATGTTAAGTTCTACCTCAGAAAATAAACATAGTCCCTATAATCGTTTTAAAACCTACATATTTTATTTTGAAGGAAAAAGGTCTTCCCTTAGCGGAAGTACCCGCTGCGCATCGTCTCTTCTCTTCTCGCATTCTCTTCTCGCGGTAACACCAGAGATCGGTGAGAATGCAGCTAGCTCGTTAGCTGATTCCATCGTTTCCAGGTTTCGTGTCAACCTGAAAACATCAGACCAAGAGAGACACAGACAGCAAATTGAAAACGTAACGCTTTTAACACCCAGGCTGCAAGGAGAGGTGGGACAATGCCGCACAACTTCCAGGCCGGAGACCTGGTCTTCGCTAAAATGAAGGGATACCCCCACTGGCCAGCTAGGGTAAGTAAGCAGCCGGAGGAGGAGGAGGAGGGGGTGGGTGGCTCTGCATGGGACGCTGTGGAAGCCTCTCAGGGTATCTAATCAATATCCAACACACGTTGAAAAACACATATATAACTTATTCTGTGTATGCTATAATTTGCTTAATAATAAAGCCATTCAGTCTAGGTTAAAGCGGGGAAATTAGCATGTTATACTGCAAGGAAAACACAAGCGGAGCTACCGTTGTTAATTTGAAAATGACGTTTGAGATAACCGAGGCTTGTTTCCTGGATCATAAACCCCCCTTAATGGAGTAAAAGCATATTTATCTTGGCTCCTTTTCATCATACCGTGTCATGAATGCTGTTTTTTTGACATGGCAGAGGGATGTCTGAGTTGTTGCTTGGATGTTTTGTCTTGGTTACAGATCGAAGATGTGGCTGATGGTGCTGTGAAACCACCCCCCAATAAAATCCCTATTTTCTTCTTTGGGACACATGAAACGTGAGTGCATTATTCAACACAGATGGCTTTTATGGAAATCTTAGCATTTATATTTAGCCTCATATTTGAATTGTTTTCTCTTTATTTTGATTTTGCATGTAGAAATAGTCACAAAATGACAGCTAGTTAGCAATCAGAACTGTACAGTAAGAATTTGTGGGTGAAAACATGAAGAGAGTTCTGTTGATTGTTTTTATGAATTAAGAGAATGTGATTAAAAGATCAGATGATCAGTTTTTGTGACTGAAGGGGAAAAGGGGTGCACTTTTGTTACCTGAACCTTCTGACTCTTGAAGACGTGTGGCTGTATTATTTGTGTAAATTGAGTTTTAATGGTGAAAACAAAGACATGCCTTGACAGTTTCTGAGAAGATGGCACAAGCAATACACAAGCCCAGCAGCAGGGGGCAGAATATCCCATTCCCATGTCTTTCTTGGTATAATACAACAGAATAGAATAGAAAAAATATCCTTTTATTGTCCCATAATGGGGAAATTCTGGTGTTTACAGCAGCAAAAGATTACAGAAAAAAACTTATACCCAAATGTGGGCCTTAAAAATGTATAAGAATAACATAATAGTGAAGTATTAAAAAGATAAAATATGAAATTCTGTACTGTAAAGTGTTTTGACAATAAAAAACTGTGCACCTGGAGAATAAATAACCAATATACAGCTATGGGCATTTTTAGAGTAACGGATATTTGAAAATAGTGCCAACATCAGAGATGTGCAAAATTCAGCAGCGTGTTATTTAAGTTACTAAGATAGAAACTGTGCAGAAAATAAACAGTTCTTTTTCTGAATGCAAACATCCTGCCTGTTTTGCAGTAATGCAGTAACTTCAAACTTTCTTTTTTTCTGTGGTGCAGAGCATTCCTTGCAGCGAAAGACCTATTCCCATATGAAAAATACAGCGATCGCTACGGCAAGCCCAACAAAAGGAAGGGATTCAATGAAGGTTTATGGGAGATCCAGAACAACCCACATGCCTCTTATAGTGCCCCGCCTGCTGTAAGTCAGCTGCTAATTTAAAAAGTTAAGATTTCCTCTGATATTTTTTTTTTTTTAAGAAAGGGTTCTAAAATGCTGAGCAGACCCTTTATGATAACTTTGTTTAAAAAAAGTATCATATTCATATAAATAATGTAAAATAAATATGTTTAAAGTGTAGTATTTGTTTCTACTTCTGTCAAAATAATATATGTATGATTTGGTTGACGACATTCTGTTTATCTCTCCGACATCTGATTAAAAAGATCTTACATTGTAGGACCAGAATGAGTAATTTGTAGCTTTTTAAAACTTTGTTTTACCTCAAAAGTGGTCGCCATCTACTGCTCAACACTGACTGTCCATCTGGAAAAAGATTCTTAGAAGTTTTAGATATGATGTAAAGTTCGACTGGGTTATTATTGCAAGGAAATGTCAGTTAATGCTTTCATTGTGATGTTTCTGTAGCAGGCTAGCTCATCGGACAGTGAGGGTAACGAAGCAGCAGGAGGAAGTGAGGAGGAAGATGAGGATGAAGAGGCCCCGATACCCCAAAAGGCGGAGTCCAGCAGTGATGAGGAGTCAGAATCTGGGAGTGACGACAGAGGGAGGGGAGGCGGGACAAAGCGAAAGCCGCCGGCTCCTAAGGTATATCATTTGCTTTGGTGATGTCTCTAAGCTAAAGCAAAAGAGGCTTTGAGTCAAAAAATGAAAACATTTCGGGCACAATTGAATTGCTTATAGAAGATTATCCACAAGAAGAAGCATAGCAGGCAAGTTTATACTTTGGTGAAAAGTCAAATAAAAGATAACTCTTCCCTATTTTTTTTGTTTGTTTGTTTGTTTGTTTTGAAGCGGCCACCTCCTCCAAAAAAGCCGCGAGGATCGTCCAGTGATCGAGCCGAAGAGGAGAGTGGATCCCCCTCCGAGTCAGATCCGACAGCTTCAGAGTCCGACTCTGGCAAAAACAGTGACAAGGTCATTTTTGCAAAATGTAGATCCCACCGTACGACGATCATACAGTAGTAGCCATTCAAAATGTCCCCACTTTGCTTGATGGTCCCTTGGCTGGTCCCCTACAATTCCCTATTAAACATCTAAAATATTCTTTCTGTCATAATTTGTGGACAAAAAGATATAAAGAGAAGCGTTATCTCCTGGTCGGATCCTGTAATTTAGTGAAAGGGTGGAGAAAAATATGCTCGTCCATGAGAAGGCCAGTGGCTGAAAGTTTGAAGGGATTCTGCTGCCAATTGACTGGCTTTTGACTAGGGAGGGCTGTTTTGAATGGCTGCTACGGCATATAGCAGTTCTCTGAGTTTAGCTTTAATTTGCCATTCAACAGGATTTTACTCCAGAGAAAAAATCTGTAGGACGAGGAGGAAAGAAAGCAGGAGGCAGAGGGAAGAAAAAGGTGAAGCATTAATCCCTTTTCACACGTTATTGTCTGTTTATTTTGTGTCAATCCATCAATCCATTTGCTCTCTGTCCCATTCTCTCGGATCCTTCAGAAAGGTTCTTCTGACTCAGATTCAGAATCAGGATCAGGGTCAGAGAAGAAAGTAGCAGACAGCGATTCTGAGGATGAGAAACCTCGGCCGGCGCTGTCCGGCTCAGAGTCCCAGTCCGGCTCAAAATCCGAGTCCGAGTCTGATCCACCTCCCCGTAAAGGACCACAGCCTCGCAAGAAAGGTGCTTCTTCTGACCGCACCTTCATCCCTGTTCTTCCTTGTCAATTTGCATTCAGATATTTATTATGTGCTTGTTTGTCTTGATTCACAGAGAAGGCAGCTCCAAAGCCTCGAGCAAGAAAACCCAAACCTGCCCCAGTCAAACGAGCGCCGTCGTCATCGTCCAGCAGTGACAGGTCAACTGCTCTAACTTCTTGCTTTTTTTTTCTTATCTCTTCTCACATGCCTGATTTTTTTTTTTTTTTTTTTTATGTAAAAAAAAACTCAGTTCTTTAATAGCGTCCCCTCTACGTACAGTGACAGTGAACCCGACCGCATCAGTGAATGGAAAAAACGAGATGAGGAGCGCCGACGGGAGCTTGAGGAGCGGCGGAAAAAGGAGGAGGCAGAGGAGCTTCGCCGGCTGCGTGAGCGAGAGAAGGAGGAAGAGGAAAAAAAGAAAAAAGAGAAGGATAAGGGCAAAAAAGGGAGCGAGAGCGACAGCAGTAGCAGCTCTGACGAAGGTGTAGACGATCACCCACTGAAGAAGTCCAAGAAACCCCCTCCGCCTCCAATCCCTGCACCCTCAGACTCTGATTCTCCTCCTCCGATGGAGGTACGTTTCATTTAGGAATCGCCACGTATCTAACCTCCTTTCATGGCGCTATAGTTTGTGCTTGTGTATTTTTGACAACAGGTGAAAAAGCCGCCAAAGAAGGTAGACAAACAGAAGACCAGAATAAAGAAAGAAAAGGAAAGAAAAGAAAGAAAAGAGAAGGAGCTAAAAGAGAAGAAAGCCAGACGAGCAGAGGAGAAGTCCAGAGCAAGGTGAACAGAACGGCAGCAGGCCACAGAATGCAAATGTCATTAGATGAACCTGATTAAATATTAAAGGACAGTGATCATGGCGTTCTTCCTGACTTAGATCTAAGCCTGAAAAACCAAGACGCAAACCGGAGAGACCTCCAGAGAAGAAGGTGGAAAAGAAAAAAGGTCAGAAGCCCTCACCTGCACAAACACTCTGCTTGACTCAACAGCTGCAGATTCTTCTTATAAAGTGCTTGTATAGATTCCCCTTGGAACTTTATTTAGTTTTATTTTGTTGAAAACACAAACCTCTATCCTCTTTACTATTAAATAAAATCCATAGCTAGCAACTGCGTCTAAGAGCCACATTATTACTAATCAGTTTGAGGTTTTATCTTAGTAGTAGTAGTAGTTTTGTGAAAGCCTCAGTGGATTTTGAGAACAATGGTGAACAAACTGCATCCTGGAAACTTTCAGAATTAATAGTTAAGCAGAAATTTACAGCACAGCTAGGTTTTAAAAATGTATCCTGAGCCTCAACAGACTCGATCCATTTAATCCTATTTGACACAAATGCTAACCTACCAAATTATCATCATCCACTAAGATGATCAGAGAAACAGTCAAGATGCCCATAAATGAGCTGCCAATGGAAGAATTTGTGGACATGACAAATATCTAAAATGTGCATTGCAAAAAAAAAACTTCTTGACAACAAGAAGCCATAAGATGTTCCTTTTTTTCCCCCGAGAGCTTTGAAAGGACTCTAGAAACCAGTGGAAAATTGTGCTTTTGTCAGATGAGTCCCACAGCTGATTCCTTTTCTTCCCTTGTGCAAAATATATGTAGATGTAAGATGAAAAAACTAAACTGAGAATCAAGCTGAACACATAAATTTACAAAAGTGAGCAGGAACAGAGCCAGACGTGAGAATGGCAGAAGATAAAAGGCTCATCGAAAACAAAGCCAAGGGCGCAGAGAAGGAACATACACTCATGTTTGTGATGTATTGGTGGCCTCATGGTGTTGAATCTGCATGCATAAAACCTTTAATGTTTTGGGGGTGTTTAGGATGCTTTTGTAAGGAGCCCCTTAACAGGGGTTTCAAACTCAAATCCCCAAGAGCCAGTATCCTGCAGCCTATAGATTAGTTCCTGATCCAATGTGGCTTAATCAAATGGCTGAAATATCTGCTTAGTATGCAGCCAAGTTCTCCTCAGTCCTTTGGATGAGCTGATGATTTGATTGGGGTGTTTAAAGCAAAGACAGAACTAGAGTGGCAGGACACTGGGCTGCTGTGATTTAGAACAATCCTCTATGTTTGTTTGAATAGTCCCATTAAAGTTCAGATTAGACCCAAATTAGAGTCTATTTGCTTTGAAAAATGTATAATGTTTTGGAATTAGGATGCTTCAATTTTCTTTATGTTTTGTGTTTTTGTGTGTCAATATCTAGAGCCATCACCAGAGGAAAGGCTACAGAAGCTCCATACAGATATAAAATTTGCACTTAAAGTGGACAACCCAGTAAGTGACATAAAAGGCCATCTCTTTTATACCTTTGAGTTGCTAGGAATCATTAACTGTTGGACATTTTTGTTGTATTTCAGGACATTGACCGTTGTCTAAAAGCACTTGAAGAGCTTGAAAGTATCCCAGTCACCAGCCAGATTCTCCATAAAAACGCTGAAGTCATTGCCACACTAAAAAAGGTTCTTCTTTCCTCTCTCTGCCTTTTCGATAATTTTCTAGATTCTAATTTATTCTGCAAATAACTTTTAATAAATATCCATCTGAAACAGAATATTTACAGACAGGGATACTGATCGCGTTTTATTTTTTAATGCCAGACATCGAATCGGATACTTCACTTGTTAATGATCTATTAGGATAACCTTAATCATTTTTATATCCTTAAAGCTTATGAGTTTTTAGTTTTTATTTTGTTCTTAATATTTTTAATGGATTTACAGATCCTTGCTGATGCATTTTAAGACAAAGCATCAATCTTGCAGCATTTCCTTATCATTAATTGAAAATAAATCTGCAAAGTTATATGTAACGTATAAATTGTGCATCAACCTGAAAACAAAAGCAACAGATTTTGTGATGCTGCTCACTTGCAGATGAAGAAGCCATTACTCTAAAAGGAGCACAAGAAGCTTAATGAAACAATGAGAAAATTAAATTTAGCATTGGTAGAAATGTATTTTTTTTTTATAATAAAAATAAATTGGGGGAGGGTCATAAACCCAGAAAAGGGAAAAAGATGGAAGCTCTTAAGCTGTGACCATCGTGCCAGCCATGAAGGACTGGCAACCTCATGAAGAAAGAACAAGACGCAATGGTGTGCTTAAGAAATTAACACTTCTGGTACACAGTAATTAGTAGCATTGGCTTAAGAATAACAAAGTCTTTGCTTTCTTTGGGTTTGGTTCTTTAGAAATGTGTGATCAAACATTAAAAGACATGTATGGATGAGGCAGCCTTACTACCAACATGACTTTAAGCCAGTTTTCTCAGGAGAAATGGACCCAAGCTGAAGCAAACTATTGTTGGACGTTCGTAGAAAAATGTTTGTATTTAGTCGTGCAGTTTAAAGTCAACTCTGCAAACAAAGAAATGTATAAAAACTTCTGAATTTAAAGAATGGTTAAACAAATTTAAATGTTTTAAATTTAAGATTTTTTTTTCAAACATTTAGCAAACAAAGTTTTGTTTTTCCAAACTAACCTCTAAACTGAGCATTAATTTGGACGGTTGAGGACAGAAAGGCTCTGTTCTTTTATTAAAAGGATGTAAATATCTGCTTTCAACAGGGTATGCAGTGTTTTTCATAATGTTTGCATTTCATTGTTTTATTCTATTTTAGCTTTGCATGTGTATATTTGTATGCATTTGTAGAGTTGGGTCCATTTTTGAATATTTCCATGTGCAGTTTGACTCTTTTTAGTCGTTAATTAAAACCCAAAATGCTGATTTCTCAGATTCGGCGTTATAAAGCTAGCGCTGCAGTCATGGAGAAGGCCAGCGAAGTCTACAACAAGCTAAAACTTCGCTTCGTGGGAAAACCAGAGCTGGCAGCTAAACCGAAGATGGAGAACAAAGAAACTGACGATAGTGAAAAGCAGTCACAAAACACTGGTGAGGCTTTATCATTTCAGATTGGCTTTTAGTCTGAGTGCAACCGGTTCTGAATCTCAACTGTTCTGCCGTAGAATCGACACCAGTGAATGGCGAATCGGAGCAGAAAAAAGGTGAAGCAGAGGAAGTAGAAAACCCTAAAACGCCCATGAGGGAGGAGAATGATGATGGTCCAGGTTCAAGTCCAAACAGGTCAGCATCAAACCCTCTTTTTTTTGTTTTTTGTCTTTAATGCATTGCTTTATTTTGAAGAGGCTGCCACTGCAATGTTTTCTCCCTAGGCCCAGCTCAGACAGCCCAGCTCAACTACAAACGCCCACATACGAGGAAGCGGACGGCTCTGTCTCAGCAGAGCCAGAACCGGCAGCTGTAGAAACTTAAAAGACTCTCTACAACCCCCTGCAGCGGACCAAGTGCTAAAAGATGGTGGCCTCTGACGATCAGACACCGCTACTGGCTCAGCAGCAGCGCAGCACGCACCTAGCATTTCCTCCAGCACCTGTTACAAAGATATTTGATGCTTTGGACTTTTTTGTGGTACACTTATCGAAGTAAAGAAAAAAAACCATCCACTCAAGCCGTTCGGTCCATTGTTTCTCATTGCTAAATTAACCGTTTCTTTTAACTGTTTTACCTCTCATTTTGTTTAATGTTTTGCTGAAACTCCAGCTCCTGTTTCATCATGCGTCTACCAACGTCACACTTTCAAACTGCCTACGGATCTTAGACAAAATCATTTTTGTTTTTAGGTTCTTGTAAAGAGAATGAATTGAAGAGCACATATTTTTAAAGCGAGACCGGGAAGACTGCGAGAGAAATGGGTCATCTCTTTCTCTTAAGATTTTTCTTTACACTTTTACATATTTCCGCTTCGTTTTATAAAGCCTGCTAAACATCACCAAGGCCTCTTGTCTATGTGTGCGTGGCGTTGCCTGAGTGGTACAGTACTGTTTGTGAGTCCTTTATGTTAAGTATTTAAGTATCTGGTCAAAATCCAGTCAATAAAGCCTGACAACGTAAAGAGCCACTAAAAAGCTGTTTTCTAACTGAGGTCCACCTCCTTTTTATTGCCTTTTTTTCTCATAGGATCACAGTTTTGTCTTTAAAAATGATTACTGTGTCATTAAGCACCATGTAATCTCCTCCTTAGGGTCTGCTTTCAGTGGATCAAGATGAATTGGGAAGAAACTCGAAAGCCATGGAGATCTCATGTAGCTGCAGCCTTTTTTTGACATTTTTTTTTTCTATGTGCATACATGTGTTTTTAGTGCTATGTAAATTGTTAAAGCATTTCTATAACGTAGTTGAGACTTGAATAAAAATCTCAGCATGATTTTGCTCACTGCTTCTTTTCTATTGATATTGATAACGGTACCATGGATGTGACAAATGGCAGGGCTGCTAACCGATGAGCAGCTGACAATTTCTTGAATTTTTAATATATGCCTATATTTTGAACCTGGATAATTCAAGTATATTCAGCACTTTTTTATAATTGCTTTGATAAAAATGAATAAAAGGTGTCATAAAAAATTGATCTGTTTGTTTTTAGACCTTACTCAATATTTTAAAATATGGATTTTTAAGAAAAATAATTAGCTTTTTAACTAAACACATTTTCCGTCTTAAGCATAAAATGTATCTCACGTCTGCATAAAAGAAAACAACACTATGACTAAACGTTTGGGGTTCATTTTAACTGTTAATCTAAAACAATTTAAATATACAGGAATTAAAATGAAAATATTTATTCTGTTTATGCTGTTTTTCCTCAAAATCAGGGTAAGATTCTAACTTCTGATTCCAATTTCATGGCTACTTTCTATAAACGCATTGGTAAAAATAAATGCATACACCCTTATGTATATGTATGTATGTATACACTCACCGGCCACTTTATTAGGTACACCTGTCCAACTGCTCGTTAACACTTAATTTCTAAGCAGCCAATCACATGGCGGCAACTCAGTGCATTTAGGCATGTAGACATGGTCAAGACAATCTCCCGCAGTTCAAACCGAGCATCAGTATGGGGAAGAAAGGTGATTTGAGTGACTTTGAACGTGGCATGATTGTTGGTGCCAGAAGGGCTGGTCTGAGTATTTCAGAAACTGCTGATCTACTGGGATTTTCACGCACAACCATCTCTAGGGTTTACAGAGAATGGTCCGAAAAAGAAAAAACATCCAGTGCAGCGGCAGTTCTGTGGGCGGAAATGCCTTGTTGATGCCAGAGGTCAGAGGAGAATGGCCAGACTGGTTCGAGCTGATAGAAGGGAAACAGTGCCTCAAATAACCACCCGTTACAATCAAGGTGGGCAGAAGAGCACCTCTGAACGCACAGTATGTCGAACTTTGAGGCAGATGGGCTACAGCAGCTGAAGACCACACCGGGTGCCACTCCTTTCAGCTATGAACAGGAAACTGAGGCTACAATTTGCACAAGCTCATCGAAATTGGACAATAGAAGATTGGAAAAACGTTGCCTGGTCTGATGAGTCTCGATTTCTGCTGCGACATTCGGATGGTAGGGTCAGAATTTGGCGTCTACTCAAATGGTTCCACAGTCACCAGATCTCAATCCAATAGAGCATCTTTGGGATGTGGTGGAACGGGAGATTCGCATCATGGATGGGCAGCCGACAAATCTGCGGCAACTGTGTGATGCCATCGTGTCAATATGGACCAAACTCCCTGAGGAATGCTTCCAGCACCTTGTTGAATCTATGCCACGAAGAATTGAGGCAGTTCTCAAGGCAAAAGGGGGTCCAACCCGTTACTAGCATGGGGTACCTAATAAAGTGGCCGGTGAGTGTATACATACACAATAGCAGACATTGTGGACAGTTACAAGTACCTTGGAATCCCACAAGCAAATGGCAACGTCGGAAGAGGTGAAAAGGAGAGCAGCTACAGCCAAATACCTCCAGCGTGTGAGGCAGGTCCTAAGGAGCCAGCTCAATGGCAAGAATAAGTCTCGGGCAATGAATAGCTACAATCTACCAATAATCAAATACCCTGCAGGAATAATAAGCTGGCCAAAGGATGAGATAAAGGCCACAGATATTAAGATACAAAAGCTCCCAACCATGCAAGGAAGGTACCCCAAATCCATGCTCAGTGAATGTCTCTGGAGGTTCCGTCAGTGGAGGACAAGCCACTGCACGAGATGTACCATTGAAACATAACCGAAGTGGTGGATATAAGGAAATTCTACCAATGGCTGGACAGAGTCAGACTGAAGGACAGCACAGATGTACTCATCATGGCTGCACAGGAGCAGGCCCTAAGCACCAGAGCAGTAGAGGCTCAGATCTACCTCACCAGACTAGACCCCATGTACAGACTGTGCAAAGAGGCCCCTGAAACAATCCAGCACATAACTGCAGGGTGTAAGATGCTGGTAGGGAAAACCTATGGAGTGCCATAACCAAGGAATAATATCTGAAATAGTATACAGGAACATCTGTGAAGAGTATGGGCTGGAAACCGCAAGGTCAAAGTGGGAAACACCTCCAAAGAGGGTAGAGAATGACCAAGCAAAGATCCTGTGGAAGTTCCAGACACAAACAAACTGACTGGTAATGGCAAACCAACTGGACATTTTGGAAGTGGACAAAAAGTAGAGGAAACTCGTTGTGGTTGACAAAGCAATATCAAGTGACTGCAACAACAGGAAAAAAGAACATGAAAAACTAGAGAAACACCAGGGGCTCAGAGAAGAGCTGGAGAAAACCTGGAAGGTCAATGCACCAGTGGTACCCGTGGTCATTGGGGCACTAGGGGCAGTGAACCCGAAACTGGAGGAATGGTTACAGCAGATCCCTGCAAGTACATCAGACATCTAGAAAAGTGCAGTTGTAGGAATAGAATACTGCAAGGAGCCCTCCAGCTCCCAGGACTAAGGTAAAGGACCCAAGCTTGGAGGAGAAAAGGGGAGAGGGGTTTTTATTTTTATTATATATATGTACATAAATATATATATATATATATATATATATATATATATATATATATATATATATATATATATATATATATATATATATATATATATATATTGTGTGTGTGTGTGTGAGTGTTTATGTATTTATTTATTATAGTTAATTAATTAAAGAATATTTAGTTTGTCTCTTGAGAGATGTGCTCGTTTCGCATGTTCTCATAAATATTAAATGTAGATTTGTAAATAAAGGGCTCTGGACCTTTAATTCCTCTGACTTCCACATCTGAACCTTCAACACTCCAGTCAGCTGACTCCAGACGCCATTTTGTCAGCCATTTCCTACGCTGATCCATTGCCAGCGTCTCTGCACAGCTCAGTCCGGCCTCAGCAGCTTTCACCTACCCACCCGGGCTCGGTAGACTGTAGCGGACCGCTGACTCCACTGGGTGGATGATAAACTAGCCCGGTCAGTCGCTCGGCACCCAGAGGGACCCTGTCTGCAAGGCGCCTGGCCCACGGGACGGAGAAAACGGCGCAAGTCCCCGGCAGACATGGCTTTGAAGATTGTCAAAGGGAGCATCGATCGGATGTTCGATAAAAACCTCCAGGATTTAGTACGTGGCATTAGGAACCATAAGGAGGATGAGGTAAAACGAGCACACTCTGCTATCCGAAAAAAATCAGAATCCTATATTCAGCAGTGTTTTTATAATTCAGTTCATTTTAGCATCACCGTTATACTAGCTAACCAGCGATAACGGCTAACTGTGGGTAAGTTAACATTAGCCCAGCCGTTTGAGTCAGCGGTTAGCTGGTAACTGGACACATTCTGCTGCTTTATGTCGCTGCGTTAGCTTAGCTAAATCATTATTTTTATGTTTGCAAAACGGAAGCTGCAAAGGAGCTTTTAGAACCATGTCAGGTTTTAAACTGGGAGGCTGACCGTGACAGCTGGCAAACAGTTATTGGAGGAAGATGGGAATGAATCACAGTTTACCAGGAAATTACTGCTCAGCAGAATGAGATCAAAACACCCCAAAGGATTACTGAACTGGGCTTTCGAGCTGGGCCTCCAATACCCGCAACACTATACATTGAAAAACATAAAGATATAGCATTTTTATTTTTTTTGTCTAAATGAAAAAGCAAAGAAAAGTTGACAACTTCTCATTTTGGTGATTTGTACCTTGCGGCGACCCGTCGCATTTTCAGCACATCAGATTTGTATTGATCTATTTATTATCTAAGTTCTGTCCACCCTGGATAAATAAACTCTTTAAGGTTAATATCTATATACCGACAGCAAAGCTGTTTAAAGCAGTAAAAATATTTTAACACACATAATCTGTCATTAAAGCTATATTTATTGACTTCATACGTAGGCCAACCCTATGCTCTATGACGGAGGTCTTCAACAGGGGGTCCGCGACCCCTAAGGGGTCCACGGAGGTACTGCATGGGGGTCGAAAGGTTTTAGTTGATCAGACTATTCTTTTTAATATATATTCCCCCCTGCAATTTTTTAACTAATTGAAATGTCTTTAAATACACATTAACATGAATTCAACACACTGTAGTTAATAGATAAATGGAGGCAGAAGATGTCTTTCAGTCATCAATGCACACATTCAGCGACACACATGAGCTCTTTCAAGCTGGACACTGCTTCATTCACAGCACCTGTCTCATCAACAGGGAATCAGAACCAGAAATACTCTAATAATCCCAGGGAGAAATTACTTTTGTTACATACATGCAGCTGACGTTGTGTTGGTAGGTGGAATAAGTGCTGTATTCATTTAAAACCAGCTATACTCCTCTATGATCTAAACTGACTGTGGATTTCTTTTAAAATTTGCCCACCTCACCATCTCTATAAAAGGCATGAAAGGCGACTAAACCAGCAGAATTGAGGTGTTCTTCGAGCCTGTGTAGGCTTGATCTCTTGACTCGGATCATGGCTTTGGACTCTATCAGTTGTAACCTAACCTGGGACGCTCGGAAAAGATCCCCGTTGCCCAGTCGACAGAGGACAGTTTGCTAAAATATTAATACCGTTTCTGTGTGCTCATGACTGTGTGCTAACTCCGCTCAGCCCACCTTTTTTTTTCTTTTTCATGCTCTCTGTTTGCCTTTCACATGAGAGCGCTTTCTTTTACACAGTTCATTCATTTCACTGTCCAGGCTTTTGAACGGAGCGAATAAGTAAGGGATACTTTATGTGAGGAAGCTGTTGGACTATTTAGTTTCTGCAGGAAGAAATGTAAAGCTTTTTGTTCTTTCAGAAGAAGAGAGGACAATTTCACATCCCATAACAAGTTAGAGAATATCTAATCAAGCTGAGATAGAAATCCTTTTAATCTACATTTCCATTCATTTTCTAGCTGTTCTAGAGCCTTACCATGACACTTACCCTAACCAAAGCCACACCTCACTTTAGTAAAATGCACCAAAATGTCTTCTCCTTGCAGTGAGTACAAGTGTACACACACACTCACAACCACCACCACCTCCTCCTTCCCCTCTTGTCCCTTCGCTGTCTCATGACTGCGCACACATGACCAGCGCCTTCCACACAGCTATATGTGTTTGTTTTTTGTGAGATTGCCCCTCTCAGCAATAGCTGACGGGTCTTTTCCATGAAAGGTTTCACTCTGTTTAACCCACTTTGCTGAGTGAAATGTTCTGTTGGTGAAACACGTTATTAAAGCCTGTTAAGCGGAAAAATGTATTTTATCTATTTAGAAAGTCCTTTTCAGGTTCTATTTATTTACATTTTTTTTAGGTAGTTGTAGCTTTTATTGTTGAATATAAATAAACTAGACTATTCAGCAAAGGTGATTATTTTAGTAATCCATATTATAATCACAGATTTAAAGTGTTAAGCTAGGTTATTATTGTTTATAGCTTAAATACCTCAGACTTTATTAGCCTGCTATTATAAAATAGCTTTTAATAAGCCAATAACAGAATATCAAAGGTCAATCATATAATAATTTTTTCACAGCTTTGTCCCATAATGTTAAAGGAAAATATGTTATGGAAATAAGCCAACAATCACCCAGGACATTTATCTGATTATATGTTACTGCTATTTTCAAGTCGTTGGACTACAGAGCTCCACTTCTCATTTCTGCTGAAAGCTCCATGAAAAACAAGACTTATTTGGGCTTTTCTAATTCGGCTTTCCTAAGCTAATAAATGCTTATTATATCTGAGGTGCACAGATCTTTTTAAATCTCTGCTGTACAGATATTTAGTACTTGTTATGCTTTTAAATACATCATTATCCTGAACCATTTGATGTGCTTTATAAATAAACATATTTGATATTAGCATTGATAATGAGTGCCACTTTAATTTATAAAATAAAAAAAGAATTTGAACAGGGCTGAAACAATCGGATCAATCGATTATTGAAATAATCATCAACTAATTTAGCAATTGATTAGTCATTAAATGGAGTATAAAGACTGTAAAACATGCCTTTACCTGACTGAGCAACCAACTTAGAGGAGTAATTATATCAAAATTATTACAAAAAATTATAAACCTTTTGCATTTAGGATTAAAAAAAATATATATATATATATATATATTTATATAAATTTTTTTTTTTTTTTTTCATCTGTCAGTATGTTCTATCCAGAACTCCTCAAGTGGAAAAAGTTTTGGTTTAACCTGGTTTAATTTTGTTTTCAAGCAGGGTGTTTTTTATTGAAGTATTTCAATACAATTGTTTGTGATTACAGTTTCATATATGACTCAGCTGCCTCCCTAAGCCAAAAGTAGAGCAACAAAAAAAAAAGAATGGATGTGCAAACTAATGACCGAGTTGCTTCTCTGTTGATTGGATAGTAGCAGCAGCACCAGCAGGGTCGTTACAGCAGGTTTCTGGTGCTCAGTAGAAACGTGCCACTCCGGATATTGCTCTGCTTAATCTGATCTGGTGTCTGCTTTTGTCTGTTCTCTTTTGCCCACTCCTTTGTCTGTCCTCAGGCCAAATACATCTCCACGTGCATCGATGAGATCAAACAGGAGCTCAAGCAAGACAACATTGCTGTCAAGGCCAATGCTGTGTGCAAGCTCACCTATGTAAGATCCCTCACTCCCTACACCCACCTGCCTGTCACATATAGTGTAGAATTGGCAGTTTAATCCTTTTCCTCCTGGCTTCTTTTGGTAAAAGACCGCAGGCTTGTTTTTAAGTGCCTGCTTAAAAAGTGAATTCATTGCTACACAAAACAAGCAGGATACGCTATGATTGTGGATTTAACTGTAAAAAGAGAGTACATGCACCATCTAGGAAGAAAAGCCAGTTTCCTTTTGTCTTGCTCGATAAAGGTGACTATACTGCTCTTTATTTAGATGCAAAAGTAGAGAATCCCATTCTGGTCAGTATTACGAATATTAATGGATTAATAATTAAAGAGCTATGATACAAACAGATGCAGAAAATTAACAAAACATTAGGCTGAACCATTTCTCATGATTACTGGTAATACTTTATGTACTTGCTTAAACCTGGAGATTTCACCACTATTAGCAACAAGCAAATATTGGTAGTTTGTGAAAGCATCAAGATCTTTAAACTGAAATCTCGATTACAATGCAAATTGTAGTTGACAGTAAAGAAATTGATTGATTAAAGTCTCCCTTCATTTGACCACCTTTAACACTACATTGATTGTTTCTGTTTTAGTCTCAGACACAGTATAAACCCCCCCTCCTCTGATTTTTATACCAGTGTATCTGTCTGCTCCAATTACAGCTTCAGATGCTCGGCTACGATGTCAGCTGGGCTGCTTTCAACATCGTTGAAGTCATGAGTTCCTCAAAGTTCACATACAAGGTATGACTGCACTGTTTTTCATGGCTAAGCACATCTCAAATCGGAGGACTTCTCTGAATCCTCCCTGGAAGTTATGCTGTATGGGTGAAACGTGATCTTTCTGTGCATGGATGAAAGTTTGCTCTTCTCCTTGCAGAGGATTGGTTACTTGGCAGCCTCGCAGTGCTTTCATGAGAGCACAGATGTCATCATGCTAACAACCAATCAGATCCGAAAGGTCAGTGAAGCACTTGTTTTGTGCATCTTGATGTTCATGCCTCTGTCTGATCTAAAATGTCTTCCCGCTTTTTTATCAGCTGTTTGTTTAATTTTCACTTTCTTTATTATTTTCCCCGCAGGATCTCAGTAGTCCCAACCAGTACGACACAGGTGTTGCCCTAACAGGCCTGTCTTGTTTTGTTACCCCTGATCTGGCTCGTGATCTTGCTAACGACATCATGACGCTGGTGAGTCAGAAAGAAAATGTCAAGTTTATCCACAGTTTTCATCCCATCGACCTCTTCCTTTTTCCCCTAGATATCCGATTTCCCTCGAGGCTTTTACTTTATTTCAAAGGAGACCAGGAAATACAATTCTTTAATTTAAATAAAATCACCTTCATCTCTTCACTGTTTTATTTTAGATGTCCCACACAAAGCCCTACATCAGGAAGAAAGCTGTGCTGATCATGTATAAGGTGTTTCTTAAGTACCCAGAATCTCTACGCCCAGCTTTTCCAAGACTCAAGGAGAAACTGGAGGACCCAGATCCAGGTATTGGACCACAAACGTATACAGTTTGTTGTTCAGAAAGACTTAATTCATAAGTTTGTTGTTGGTTCACTTATTAGAGGTGAATGGGGTGGACACAGTGGTACAGTTCATGTTTATTCGTTCAAAATGGAAAAAAAAATTGTATTTTCCTGTACCAGTAAGGTCTTTTCAAGTTCATCTTGCCAGGATTTTATTACAGTAAACGCTTGGAAATTCCGGTTAATTGATGCAGTTTTATTGTTAGAATTAACAGGGATGCGATATTTTGAATCGTAAAGCTAAGGGGTACCCCTAAATGAGGGCTGTGCTTTCATGATATGAAATGTTGAAATGACAGGTTTAAATCCTGCTTTAGAGAAATTCCTGATGGTTTATAAGGATAGAAACTTCTTTCAGCAATTAGTTGCAACACTTGCATTCGTTATTAATATTTCGTTAAGGTTTCTGTTATAAAAAAACATTATTTCACCAGGTGTCTAACATAGGAAGAATATTTAGAAAATAAATGGGTTACTCAATTACTTTACAAAAAATAGACTGAATTGTGCAGCTCAGAAATGTATAAGATGTAAAATATCTCTTTTCTACATTTTTTTTAACCTGTTCAATGGTTTTAGTTGCTAAACATAATAGTGATTCTTATTTTTTGTTTTGCTTTTGGTGGTTGAACTCACATTATTGCTTATTATAGTTTTTTCACGATAAACAATATACACATAAAAATATACAATCAACTTGAATAAAACATTATTTTATAGGTAATTTTTTAGTATTTTTTAATCGTTTTTATTGCATTTTCTTTCTTCTCTCAGGGGTCCAGTCAGCAGCGGTTAATGTTATTTGTGAGCTGGCAAGAAGAAATCCCAAGAACTACTTGTCTCTTGCCCCGCTTTTCTTCAAGCTTATGACCTCTTCTACCAATAACTGGGTTCTTATTAAGATCATCAAACTGGTGAGTTGACAGGATGAAAAGAGCAAAAAAACAAGGCATTAGAGGAGAGTTAGCAACTCTAACAGCTCTGTAACAGAAATGAACAGCATCAGTGAATTTTGTTCAATTACATCCTGCTATAATATAAGAACTGAAAAAAAAAAAAAAAAAAAAAAAAAGCAAATCAACCCTAAAGGAGGAAGTAGTGCTAGTTCTTCCCTTTAAAATCACATGACATTTTGAATACTATAGATGGAGCATTCCCAACAGTTGCCTCTTTTCATTCTGGTCTACCCTTTATTGAAGCCCTCACATGTGAAATAAATACCTACAGGGGAGGAACGAGAGGGGGGACCATGGCCACCCCAGCCAGTCATTGGTCTCCCCTATCAGGTGATAGGCTGTTCCCAGGTGGATGTAATTCTCCACCTCTGGAACAAACAGTTCTCCTCTAAACCAGAAGGTGGCAGCAGTGATGCCATCAGGTGGAATGTCTCTCCCTGACATCTTAAAGTTACTATATATTAACCAAAACCTGATGACAAAGATAGATACTTTAAAAAAAAAGTATTCAAAGCACTGTAGTCCAAATAAACAGGGCTGATAGAGAATTTTTGCTCTTCTACAAATTAGTTTTTAAGTTTTATCGTGGGTGGTCATCTTGCAGCCTCTTCTATGTTATGTGGAACCATAAATTAATTAACAGCACCAATCGATAAACATGTTAGTAACTTTTTTAGCAAGGGCCTCATGGACATCTAGTCTGTCTTCAGTGATTTCATTGAAAATATAGATGTTCATTTTCCATATGGTTTTATTGTGATCAGCATAGATGTTTTTGGCCATTGTTCCCTGCCTGGCCACCTGTATGAAATGTTCTGGAACCAACACTGACTGGTTAATTCTCACTGGAACTCCAATGTTTTTTTTCTTTGACCATTTATTTCCCCTTTTTCTCTCTTCGCACAGTTTGGTGCACTTACACCTCTGGAGCCAAGGTTGGGTAAGAAGCTAATCGAACCACTGACAAACCTAATCCACAGGTGAGATGGAAGTCCTGTTTACAGTTGTCAGATGGAGGCTAAAATATATCCATTCATTGAATAACAGTCTGCTTTTCCTCTCTGCCTCATAACCCGTCTCCCCCTCCTACAGTACCTCTGCCATGTCTCTGCTGTATGAATGTGTCAACACTGTAATAGCAGGTCAGTCTTGGTAATCTGTTGGAAATGTTTGTGCTGTGAGATCAGACTGTTAGATTTAGATTGTGACTCCCGATTAGGAGTTTGCAAGAGCCTAAAGTTTAAATATACATTTTGCAGTCGAGTTGATCCATTTTATCCAAGCTTCTGTAAAGCCTGTGAATATCTGAAGTATGATCAATGTCTTGATTTAAAATCCAATCCCTGATCCAGTGTAATAGCCCTTTTGCCCTTCATTACAGTGTTGATTTCTTTGTCCTCTGGGATGCCGAACCACAGCGCTAGTATCCAGGTAGGTGGCTTCAGCTTCACATCTTATTTCTTGGAAGTTTACATGGATTGATTCTGATTTCAATCCTTTCCACTCCAGTTCTCCATCATGCACAAAGACCACATGCCCTTCATTTTCATTAATCCATCTTTGAGATGATTTGTTTGGTTTGCATGATATTTCCTTTTGGAAGGCAGGACCGGTGTGGAAAGGTTGTGAGCATTTTTAGTGCCTTTGCTCTCTTTGTTTTTTTCCTGTTTCTCTCATTTTCTCTCTCCCACAGCTCTGTGTGCAGAAGCTGCGAATCCTGATAGAAGACTCGGACCAGAACTGTGAGCCCTCAGTCAATGCCTGCAGTGTGTCATTTTCTCATTGTCTGTGTGTTTATGACTGTGGAACAGTCGGCCCCTCGTAGACGACCAGACCGTAGACCTCCTGACTCTGGATAACTCGAACTTTATTGCATTTTTTCTCTTAATTTGGAGGCTGGCTTAGAATACCATTGTTCTTAAGCAGCATCTACAAATTGCTGAGTATGACTGTGGAAATCCTTGCAGTGTTTTTTCTCTCTATAACCAGCCGGTCTGGAAACAAAAGACCTGACTCTGAGTTCCCTTCAGTCATGGTATCTACATAGTTGTTTTAAGCCATTCGAGTTATCCGGACATCCATCTATAGGTAGCTATTTGTGTGTGGTGTAGACAGTGGACCTCAGTGATAGTGTAGTAAAATTAGATGTCTAATGTTTTGTTTATTCTTTTATCATGATTTCTGTTTGATTTAATGAGAGGCTTCTCAGCAATTAGCGAACCGGTTTGAGAGGGAGAGAAAAGGATTTTTCTGGGTAATTTGATCAAATGTAGGCTGGTTTTAGAACTGCTTCTCATAGCCAGGAGGCAGTTTGGTCTTAGCTGGTACTATGATGCCTTTTGAGCAAGATCAGTGGCTTATTGAACTAACTTTATATGTAGTTTTGGATTTTCTATGAAATATTGCTGATACCTTAGCCACTTATAAAGAGGTTTGGAGATCAGAAAGCACAATTAGTCTTCCAAAATACAACAATAGGCATAAATATGCCCTTTTTTCTCTTCCTTCCTTGAATGTTTCATCATATAATCTTTCCAAAGGTTCTCATAGTAGCATAGATGGACCTAAAGCTGATATTGAGAGCTCTAAAGTTTGTTCAAGAGAACTTCCAACAAATCGGCCTGAGATCAAAATGTTCCAAATCTCCCCCCAATTTGTTCAGATTGGTGATCAGCAACTAAAGCTAAATACTAAACAGGTAAATACTAAACAATGCAATGATCTTTATTTAGTTTTTAATGTATCAAAACGGAACAGTTACAGTTTGTTTAAAAAAAAAATGAACAAAGTTATATAACTGAACTAAAGTTATATTTTAAATACATGTTCTTTGGTGCATAAATGGGAACATTATTATAGTTCCTCCTTAGATCTTATGAAAAAAAAAAAATCAAACAAAATTTTAAACTGTAACACTCTTTATGTGACATTATTGAATATGTGGAGCATCAGCTTGTGCCGCTATTATAAATCCTCCAGCTAAAATAAATTTGGTCATTTGCCATTTTTTCGAGAACATATATATATATATATATATATATATATATATATATATATATATATATATATATATATATTTTTTTTTTTTAGTGTAGAAAGGACTAAATCAGTGACGATTGTTGAACACAGATGTTATTTGTTCTTTTTCCTTCAGACTCTTTCATTATCCACATGATAATGCGTTTTAGTAAGGGGTAATGTCAGGGAATCAAGCATTCATCCAGACCATGGTATAAAAGCCAGTGAATCTGGTGCAGAGAGTCTAACCAGCTTTTTGATGCCAAATAACCGATCCTTACTGTGGAGGTTAATTAGGCTACATTTCTCATAGAGGCCCCAGAAATGTTAAACCTGCTTTGAAGACCCAGAATTCAGCCCTTTTTTTAAATAAGCCCATTGGAAGAAGTGACTGAAACATGAAGCTAATACTGTGATCTAACCATATTGGCTCACTGTTGGGGAAAGTAGTGCTAACTTTAACACTAACAGGAATACAATCATCAGGGTACCAAAGCGGCTTCTTTTGTCTTAAACATTAGGGTTTAAATACTTTAAATACAAATTCAAGCTGTTTCTTTTTTTTTTTTTTTGCGTTTTATTCACTTTATACAGAATGTAGGTAATCACCTGCAACAAACTGGACTAAGAAACATATTTTCACTAACTGCCCTTAAATGATTTGTTAAATTTATGCCTTGCAGTAAAAAATTACTTTGTTAAAGTGGTTAAAAAATAGCTTGTGTCACATGATGTCCCTCATAAAAGATGGTATCAGTCCTCATCCACTGCTTTTGTGAAGTACCCACACCAGTAGGCAGCAGTTTGTGTAAGGGTACTCTCTGCATCACCCCAAGGTTACTGCTTCTCGTCATTGATTTAGTGAGCTGAGAGGCTTTATTTCTGCAGGACGGCTGACAGAATGCCTGTTTTAGACACTCATTTTAGGGAGGGAGGGACACAGAGGATTAAACAAAACCAAAATAGTTCCCTGTGTATGTGTGTGTTTGTCCTTTCCATTGTCTCGTGTTTTGTGTTACTTTCCTTATTTACTCAATGTTTTGATTGAATTCATAGCTTATATTAGAACATATGGAGCATATCTGTGAAATACAATATCTTAGACATTTTGATTTATAGTGTTAAACCCCTACTCTGTAAAGAAGATGCTCTGAGTTGTCTAGATTTTGATGATTATGGCGTACAGTTAATTGAAGCTCTAAATCCTAGAATGGGCTTCATTTCAGTTTTCCCTAGATTATTATTCTGTCACCTGTTGTCACTATTCTACATGTTTTCCCTCCCTCTAAATTTTCCATTAGTCTGTTTTGATACAAAGTTATGTGGATTTTTTATTTCAGCATTGCTATATTGGCTTAAACTCCTTGTGAATGATATGAGTGATTGTCTGCTGGAAATCCACATACATGGAGATGAGGGTTCTGCCTTAAAGCCATTCATTTCTCTTATTTAATATTCAGATTTACATAGAAATGTAATTTTGGGATTATCCTTAGCTGTTCGCCCTAATCATCAATAGAAATAAACATGAATATAAATACACCTGGAGAGCCTTAAAATTATCTATTTCAGTCTTCTATAGTGAATGCTGTTATATAACTTATCGATTACCACAGGATTGATAAATAATCTGTTTAAATTGGCTGTTTTTAGAAGAATATGATTTGATCAGTTAGAAGAACTGGTGAAACATTAGAAGTAGAGTTTTCGCAGGGGCATTTTATGAAGCTCTGTGTGTTTGTGTCTTTATCCAGTGAAATATTTGGGCTTGCTCGCCATGTCAAAGATTCTGAAGACCCACCCCAAGTCGGTGCAGTCTCATAAGGACCTCATCCTCCAGTGTCTGGATGACAAAGATGAATCCATTCGTCTCAGAGCTTTGGACCTGCTCTACGGCATGGTAGGGAGTCAAAACATATGTCTTGTAGAATCAGAGGGTTTTAATTATGCCCCTTTTTGCTGTGGTTGTTGCATCACATGTTTCCATTTAATTTACAGGTGCTGGTCATAAAATTAGAATATCATGAAAAAGTAGATTGATTTCAGTAATTCCATTTAAAAAGTGAAACTTGTATATTATATTCATACATTACATACAAACTCATATATTTCAGATGTTTATTTTGTTTAATTTTGATGATTACAAATGACAACAAATGAAAATCTCAAATTCATCATATCAGAAAATTAGAATATTACTGAAGACCAATAAAAACAAAGGATTTATAGAAATGTTGGCCAACTGAAAAGTATGAACATGAAAAGTATGAGCATGTACAGCACTCAGTATTTAGTTGGGCCTCCTTTGGCCTGTATTACTGCAGCAATGCGGCGTGGCATGGAGTCGATCAGTCTGTGGCACTGCTCAGGTGTTATGATAGCCCAGGTTGCTCTAATAGTGGCTTTTAGCTCTTCTGAATTGTTGGGTCTGGTGTATTGCATCTTCTTCTTCACAATACCCCATAGATTTTCTATGGGGTTAAGGTCAGGAGAGTTTGCTGGCCAATTAAGAACAGGGATACCATGGTCCTTCAACCAGGTACTGGTCGCTTTGGCACTGTGTGCAGGTGCCAAGTCCTGTTGGAAAATGAAATCTGCATCTCCAAAAAGTTGGTCAGCTGCAGGAAGCATGAAGTGCTCTAAAACTTCCTGGTATGTGGCTGCGTTGACCCTGGACCTCAGAAAACACAATGGACCAACACCAGCAGATGACATGGGACCCCAAACCATCACTGACTGTGGAAACTTTACACTGGACTTCAAGCAACGTGGATGAAGTGGCTCTCTTCTTTTCCTCCAGACTCTGGGACCTTGATTTCCAAAGGAAATGCAAAATTTACTTTCATCAGAGAACATGACTTTGGACCACTCACCAGCAGTCCAGTCCTGTTTCTCTTTAGCCCAGGCAAGACGCTTCTGACGCTGTCTGTGGTTCAAGAGTGGCTTGACACAAGGAATGCGACAGCAGAAACCCATGTCTTTCATACGTCTGTGTGTGGTGGTTCTTGAAGCACTCACTCCAGCTGCAGTCCACTCTTTGTGAATCTCCCCCACATTTTTGAAGGGGTTTTGTTTCACAATCCTCTCCAGGGTGCGGTTATCTCTCTTGCTTGTACACTTTTTTCGACCACATCTTTTCCTTCCCTTCGCCTCTCTATTAATGTGCTTGGACACTGAGCTCTGTGAACAGCCAGCCTCTTTAGCGATGACCTTTTGTGTCTTGCCCTCCTTGTGCAAGGTGTCGATGGTCGTCTTTTGGACAACTGTCAAGTCAGCAGTCTTCCCCATGATTGTGTAGCCTATAGAACTAGACTGAAAGACCATTTAAAGGCTTTTGCAGGTGGTTTGAGTTAATTAGCTGATTAGAGTGTGGCACCAGGGGCCATCAATTTTGAACCTTTTCACAATATTCTAATTTTCTGATATGATGAATTTGAGATTTTCATTTGTTGTCATTTGTAATCATCAAAATTAAACAAAATAAACATCTGAAATATATGAGTTTGTATGTAATGTATGAATATAATATACAAGTTTCACTTTTTAAATGGAATTACTGAAATCAATCTACTTTTTCATGATATTCTAATTTTATGACCAGCACCTGTAGTTTAGTAAATTTCTGCAGCTTAGAACTGTGGTTGCCCAGACAACAATCATCTGATTTTTCTATCTGAAATGATCCTGACTGGCGTTCAGCAGTGAACATACCATCCATAAGCACTTCCAGGTTCCAGTAATGATAGCAGTCAAGTGTGGAAAACTGTTAATGAATGATGAGGACTAAAATAAGCTACTTGCAGTATCAGTGAAGTGATAATAAAGAATTCAGAGGCAGCAGAAACATTAGCGGCTGCAGCTGTTTCCTTTAACCTCCAGACAGCAGTTGGCCCGTAAGAGAGCCAGACTTCAGTAGATAACAGGAAGCTGCTATTAATGTAAATAATGGCTGTTCTTAGTAAGATGGTTTGAAACGGTGTTTTTCATTTGGCCCACGTTCAAACTGCAGCTCCAAATGCTCTGTTGCAATTGTTTATTTTTCCTGCAATCCTATTTGTTTTTTTTTGCTCTTCATTCACATCCCTTTTAAGATGCTGCGCATGTCCAACTGAATCCTGATATTGCATACAGGACTCTATAGTCCAGGAAGAAATGAAAGTTACACCAAATACAGAGGGGTGGATGCGATACTCTGTTTTCTGGTATCTTGCTAGTTCAGCTCAAAGGTTTGTTTGAATGTGGGGACACGCCCAGGAATAGTGGGACCAGCATTTAACAAACAGAGCCTCTTCATTTGACTCCTAAGGTGGGACACTCATTGCAAGACGTTATCATGGAAAGCAATGTGGACAGATTACAACCTGCTGGGTAACCTATGTGTTATTGCAAAGCCCTTATTATTCAGTGCTCTTAGCATCTTTCTCTGACCACCTTCCAGTTTGGCTCAAATTGATGCAATACTGCATATAATGGTGAGATCTAACATCTCGCTGTTCTTCCACTTTGCAGTACCACAGCAGCTGTTGTCTGTCCTGCTAACTACTATCACCTTATGCTGGGACAAAGTTGTGACAAGTGACAAAGGAAAGTGATTAGAAAGTTGCATCAAATCCACCATGGTTTTTCCTTCTGGAGTCTTTTCCAAAAGAGCAGATGCAAGTCAGATTTGACCCCGCCTATGGAAGGGGCTTAAATGTGACTTGAAAACAATCAGACATGAGCTAAATGTTGGCTATCATAGAAGATTGAATGTGTATCAGCAGGTTGGGGTTTGGAAGCAAAACTCAGTTCATCTCTAGGTGATTTTAGTTTCCTTTTTATGGTGTGTTTGGCGTTAATGTTGTCTTTATTGAGAGCTGTGAACCTGTTTAAAACTCTTTCTAAAACATTACTGCGGTTCTAAATCCCTCAAGCTTTTGTTAATTAGTGGGTTGTTGGTGCGATGATGCTCAAGCTTCTAGGTTAACTGTACGATGACCAATTTTTTTTATTTGTTGTCTTTTTTTCTATATTGCACATTGGTGTCCGTTTATAAGTGAATAATAATTAAAGTTTAATTGGATTTTGTAAAACAGGAGAAAAATCATATAATGAAAATCTTATACAGGAAAATTTATGTTGTTGGCGTCCTCAATTAGTTTTATTTGTGTGAATGTTTGTTTTAATAACTAAAACAAATCATGACTGATTGGATTTCTGTCTTCTCCAGGTTTCTAAGAAGAACCTGATGGAGATTGTGAAGAAGCTGATGCTGCATGTGGACAAAGCTGAGGGAACCACTTACAGGGATGAGCTGCTCACCAAGATCATCGACATTTGCAGCCAGAGCAACTACCAGTACATCACAAACTTCGAATGGTTTGTTTTCTTTCTGTCTGTCTGCTCTGTTGTTTTTTGGGTTTGTTAGACTTGTATGAAAATTACATCCCATCGTATTGACTGACAGGTATATCAGTATCCTGGTGGAGCTGACCCGGTTAGAAGGCACACGGCACGGCCACCTCATTGCCTCTCAGATGCTAGATGTTGCCATTCGGGTCAAAGCCATCAGAGTGTTTGCCGTTGCTCAGATGGCCACTTTGCTAGACAACGCCCACCTGTTGACGGGTAACACGCAGAGGAATGGCATCTGTGAAGTGCTGTATGCTGCCGCCTGGATTTGCGGCGAGTTCTCGGAGTGAGTTCCGCGTGCAGCATCCAAAGCCTTCAGTGTTGAAGTATTCTGAACCAGTAGCTCTAGAAATCCTCTTCTTTCCACAGACACCTAGAGAACCCGATGCAGACGTTGGAGGCCATGCTGCGGCCTAAGGTGGCCACGCTGCCTGGCCACATCCAGGCTGTGTATGTTCAGAACGCAGCCAAGCTGTTTGCCACTGTGCTGAAAGGCCAGGAGGGGAACACAGACGGCACTGCTGCACAGGAAGCCAGCCAGCTGATGATAGACAGGCTGCCACTGTTTGTGCAGAGTGCAAACCTCGAAGTCCAGGAGAGGGTGAGACAAAATGAGACAAATAAAGAACTAGTCTGAACAAGTATATGTAAAGATGACTAACTTAGCTTCTGTCATCAGGCGTCCTGCATTCTGCAGCTGGTTAAATACATCCAGAAACTCCAACAGAAGGATGTGGAAGTGGCAGAGGAAGTCAGCGCTCTGTTTGCTGGAGAGCTCAACCCTGTAGCCCCGAAAGCACAGAAGAAAGTACCTGTTCCTGATGGGTCAGTTCATCCTCTATATGTTGAGAAGCTGTTTTAAATTACAACTGCATTTTAAACCTAAATTAACACCTCAGCACATCAAAATTACTGTTAACTCTAACCGCGTAAAGTGTAAACGTGTTTGTTTGTGAAGCCTGGACCTGGATGCCTGGATCAACGAGCCGCCGTCCGAAAGCGAGTCTGAGGACGAACAGCCGAAGGCGATTTTTGCAAAGGAGGAGCCGAAACACTCCCGACCCCGTCACACAGAGGTGGATGAGAAGGAGCTGGCAAGGGTACGCACTGGGGAACCTGCCTCATTTTACTGCAGAGGATTTTATTAGGTCTGCACTGTTTGATGTAAGGTCAGGTGAAGGTGGATGCAGGTTTTCCTTTAAGTTCAATTTAAAACTCCCAATGAGGGAAATGTATATCCCCTAAATTTTAAAGCATGAATGTCTTGCCAATGATTCTATTAAGAGTATTGATTTTTAGCTCAGAGTTTAAGAATGATTTATCTGCCCTCTCGTGTGGACGCCTGCGTAAACTAAGTTAGGCGGTTATTCATTAATCAATTCATTGTGTGGATTTTATTTCTTTCCCAGAGGAGGGAAGCCAGAAAGCAGGAACAAGCCAACAATCCATTCTACATCAAGGCTTCCCCATCCTCTCAAAAGGTATTTTGACCCATCTTAACTTGTCCTATGGTCTTGTAACTTAAGGTGTTTTGCTTTCCTCCATATTAGTTTAAACGGTTAGGAAAAGAAAAGCAGGGATTCTTTTTTCCAATGTTCTTTTTAGGATAAGACAGAAGAGAATGGAAAAGCTATGTTTCTATAACTTGAATACATGTTCAGTTGTCTAAGGATTATATCAGTATTTTTCATAATTACCCACCTATTCATAAGTCCAACTCTTTGCCTATCAGCCCTTTTCGTTCATCCCTTAGTCCAGCAGGCTTCTATTCATCTGGTTCTCCATTGGTTTATCAGTTTGTCTGCCTGTCCATCAGTTCGTTTTATCCATCTATCCATTCCTCTTTTTTTTTTTTTTATCCATCAGTCATCTATACATCAGTAAAGCATTTTCTATCAGTTTCTACATCGCTCCACCTGTTTGTTAGCCAGGAATCCATCCTTCCATTCAGCTTCTGGTTTGACAGGTTCCTTATTCAAAGCCTGATGACTAGAAATGTCTGCCACTGACTCAGACTGAGGTTTTATAATAAAGGTGAAAAGTTCCCCAAAAAAAAAAATAGAAGCTTTGAATTTTTAGTTTGGAACAATAGGGTTTCCATTAGGGAGAAATGTATTGGATTTTACTGAGATATAAACCTTCCCTGTATCATTTTGTTTGTATTTCTCCTATAGGTGTATCAGGATGCTCCTGGAGTGGAGCACATCCCAGTTGTGCAAATTGACCTCAACGTGCCTCTCAAAGTCCCAGGTTGAGCCCCAATATCTTAACATTAATACAAAAGACTTCCATTTTCTCTCAGAACATTTAAATGGTTAGAAGTCTTATCGAAAATATTACATTTCCAGTTAATATTGCCGAAGCTCCCCCTTCCCTACATTGTTTCCTGCCTCCTTAAGTTCATACTGTATTATATTGTTGTTTCTCTTGTGGTCTCACTCTTTTTTTAGGTCTGCCTATGTCTGACCAGTACGTGAAACTGGAGGAAGAGCGGCGTCAGAAGGAGAGAGCAGAGAAGAAGAAGAAAGAAAAGAAGAAGAGGAAAGAGAAGCGCAGCGGACGAGGGAAGAAACATGATTCGGGTCCAGAGAGTGAAGAGGACATCACTCCAGCCCACATGGTGGACATTGTTACAGAGGAGATGCCAGAGGTAGGCTCTTTTCCTTTTTTTACTACTTCACATAGAGGTGGGTGATGAATCAAATATGCTCGATGGATCTCGAGTTTTTCCCTGCATTATAGTTAAAATGACTCAATCGCAACCATTGAGTACAAATTTGCATGATGACATTAAGCTGTCTGCATCTATTTCACAGAGTTTTTTTTTTCCCCAAACACTTTAAATGCATCATAAACGCTTCCTCCAAACATGACAGTATTTCGACTTTTGTTTTTTTAAAATTTGAGGTCAATTTCTTTTTTCTTTCTGCATTATTTTTTTTAAATTATGCACAAAAGAGCCCTTTTTTATTTGCATTTTATTTAGTATTGCATGTTTTTGCTTTGTTTCCTGTTTGGTTGCTGGTATCTTTTTAAAAGACTAAGACTGGCACCGAAAGACATAATGTGGCAGAATTATTAGTGAAAAACTTTGAGCTGGTTAAGATAAATGTTTTAAATTTGAAGGCAAAGGTTTTAATGAGTATATCTGTGCAATTTTATGCATTCTATTGTTTTTGGAAATGATGTAAACATATCGTGAAATATACCATGTATCGCGATGTAGCCCAAATATATCGTGATATTCGATTTTCTCCATATCGCCCAGCTCTACCTTGTCATGGTTTGTACCAACACTGCAGAGCTGCTGTGTGACATGTGTTCAACATTCATGTAACCAAGGACTGTTTTGAGTGCAGTAACTGCTGGCCGCTGTTCAGCTGGTTGGACAGAATCACATGGCAACAGATGCTCACGTCAGACACAAATGACATTACCCAAAATGCTAAAGAAGGAAATTGATTTATTGTCATAAAATATCCAATATTATCATGACTGCCGGATATTTTAGATGGCTCAGGCCTATAACTAACTATACTACCTACCATTGTGCTGTTTATTTAACCCAGTAACGATCTCTTTGCTCCTACCTGAGTTAATATATGCAGCTGCAAGTAAAGGAGGAAAAGGAAACAGATGTTTGAGGAGCGTAAAAATAACACTGCATTGAACGCAACTCACAGATGGTCCAAGGGTCTCTGCTTTAGCAGCTTATCAGTACTACAAGCTGTGACTATAAGACACATTTGATTCTCAACGGACACAGTTTAATCTGTTCTTCAAAAAGAAACAATGATAGTTGTTTAAGATAAAAAATACTTTGCTGAAAGAAATCTCTCACTCCTACATGGATGATGTTATTAAGATTTTTAAAAAATCACCCAGATGCAAATTTGTGTTTTTGATGTTGAGAAAACCTTTCTGTTAAAGGTGTCTGGAAAGTATAATAAGGAAGTAACTTTGTTTGTTTTTAATGAGATAAATGCAGCTCTAAGCAAACTGTCCCACACTGCTTTTTATTGTGTTAGTACTCAAGTTGGTCTGAAACACTTGTGTAATTTGTTAAAATAATGTAGATTTCTTCCCCAGTGAGTATTTTGATTAATATAAGAACAGAAAATACCAGAAAATGTCAATCCTGAATTATTTATCGGCTTTATATATATTTTTTTTATTTGCCTTAAATGTATGTTGGGAAAGTTTGATTGCTGAAAAGAGATTCTTTGCCAGGTTACTAACTGCCTGGTTTTGTTTGATGTTTCCACTTGCCTCAGAATGCCTTACCCAGTGATGATGATGAGAGAGACCCCACTGACCCCCACAAAGCCCTGGACATCGACCTGGATAAGTGAGTCCACACACCTTAATCAGAAGCTTCTGTTCTAACCTTCCTCATTTAAGGCTTTAGAACTACTTGTGTGGGTTTTTAATCTTGTTTCGTTTTAGTTTGTTTTATGCAACATTTCTATCCCTGTAGTTTTTATTTTGTGTAAGTTCATTTTAGTATTTCTGGGATTCGATTACAGGACATATAAAATTTATTTAATTGTCTTCTACACTTTGTGTCAAAATTTCCAAAATGGACTACATTTTCTTTTTTCCACCTTTTCATGAATTCTTTAGGAGATGGTACATCCTATTCATTGGTTAGCTCATCTCTTCCTCTTTAAATCTATTAGATGTAATTAGGAGGCACATAGACCTCCGTATAACGCCACTAGACGCTATTGAATAAAACTAAAATGTAAATATTTTTTGGAGATCTAAATGGTCTGAAGATGTTGTCTAAACATTACATCTTCATTTGTGGCCAAAACATCAAATTCGATGTCACTTGGTCCTGTCCTTCCTCACTGCTTTCTGCTTCCTCTTTTCTCTGCTTGCACACAACCATCACTGCCTGTTTATGTGGCAGTTTGATGGAGTCGACCGGGCGCAGGTGAGTAGTACCACAGCCACAGGAAGTGAGCTCTGACTGCTCACAGACAGACTTCCAGGCTGTCTCTATCTGCCAGTAGAACCCTTTAAACATAATCCAGCCATCTCATCCTCTGATACTTGGAGCTTTGCCCTACATGCTGCCTTTCTTTTCTATACCTGACTTTTTTTTCAGTAACTAGCAGCTTTGGACATGTTATCTATAATCCTCCTCCTGGTCTTACCCTCATGCTTGTTCCTCCATCTTTCCTCTGCCTTGGCACTTTGCTTGATAATATCAGCATCTTTAATTCAAACAAAGGGTTCTATAGTTTATGTGCTCTTTAAACCACTAGGACAGCAAAGCCTATACGTTTCCATATTTACCTTTTGGTGCTGATGTTCTCAGGTCTAATTCTTGGCAATCTGTCTTCTGGAATAGACTCCTGGAATCATTATCTTGCTTTATGTATCTCCTTAAAGTTATTAAAATTCTGCATGTTTTTAAGAGGACTTATACCCCAGTACTACTTAGATGATTGCTAGTCACCCATACTGGAAAAATGTTGCATGATTTAGTCTTCACACAGGAATTTACTAAAAAAAGATACTTTTGCTGTGAGCAGTTCATTAATAAACATCCAGCATGTTGGGTGTTCAGGCTATAAATTAATCATTTATGCTGATAAAGTAGAGATTTCCCGATACAACTTTTTCATTTTTGATATAATGTAGAAATCACAGCTTCATGTATTGGATGATTTTACCGTTTACCAGATAAATCAGCTCAAACAATGCTTACTTATATGAATGATTTATTCTTGTGGCATATTAGAAATAACAGGTTTGAGTCCTATTACTGGGAGAACACCAGAACCCTTAAACTGAAGCAGTATTTCTATCAGTGTGCTGATCCAGCATATTGTAGATACAGGCTCATATATTCTGATTTTAGTTTTTTGGATGATATTAGAGCAATTTCCTTTGTCAATATCTGATCGGGACATCCCTTCCTAAAATAATGTAGTTGTCTGATTATATTTCTACATTTCCTGGTTTTTAAAGGTTATTTCCCACAAAAAAGCCTTGTTAAAAAAAAAAAGAAAGAGCATTGTCTCCATTGAGTGTAGCCAGCAGCGGGTCATTCTGCACGTTCCTCCCTGCATTGGCCAAACTTGGAAGGTGAAGAACTCATAGTGGACACAAGTTCAGATGTTGTATTCTTGCCTTGTTTGGGAACTGGCACTGCATTTTGAAAAACCTGAATGTGCCTGAGTTTTACTTTCTGTTGCATTTTGGTATCTCTCATCTTATCAGCTTGTAAAACAAACTAATACTTAATAGTCCCTAGATTGTGGCTCCAATTTCAGGTGGATAAGTAGTGAGTTAAGTTTTGTATTTGTGTTTTATTTGTCCAGGCCGCTTGCAGACAACGAGAAGCTGCCTGTCAGGTCACACCGTGCGGCTGAAGCTCAGAAAAGCCCAACGGATGGAGAAAACGAAAACATATTGCAGGAACCCAAGAAGAAGATCAGTAAAGAAAAGAGAGTGAAGAAGAAGGATAAAGACAGAGAACGGAAGGTAATAGTGTTGCTATCGAAGATTATACCCAAACCCCACACTGTTCAGCCTATTGTATAATAATCTGGACTGAATATTATTCAGGTTTACTGAAGTTAGTTCCTCAGTCTGAATGATGCATGAATTATTATCTGTTTTCACAGAAGAGCAAAGAAGAGAAAAAGAAGAAAAAACACAAAGAGGAAGACAAGGAGGAGAATCTTCTGGGTGACCATGACGATGTACCTGTCCTCCAATCAGAAGAAACCAGTCAAGTGGCAGCACCCCCTACTTCCACTTCTACCACTGCAGAGGTAATTATTTTAACATGCTTAGAAAACTGATCTTATTACTCATCCTAGTATTTAGTTCAACATTTGCTTTAAATTGTAAATCAAAGTGTTGTGTTGATATTAAGCTCTCAAACTTCCCACCGATATAAAGGTAAAGAGGGGGTCTGTTTGTAACCAATATGTTGACAGATCTATTGTCCGGGATATTTTTTTTTACTTCACTGCTGCAGGTTTAGGAGCTTTACTGGCTTTTCAGGTTTTCCTGTCCGTCTGCCTCATTGGCAAAAGGAACTTAAATGAATACTTTTACAAGGTTCTATACATGAACGTAATGTAATCAGAAACGTATGGAAAAAACATCACTTAAGAATTTTTTTCTTTTTGACTTAGTGCTTGCAGTGCTTCTTTATATCAATCAGCTTCTGCAATCTAGTATCTGCTTCCTCATAGCTGCAGTCTCTTGCCAAATACTTGATTTATCCATGCAGTAGTTCAGTGTAATCTCTATATCTGTTGTCAGGAGTAGTATTAAGATTCAGAACCTATTTGGCCCTCTCACCTCCTGCCCCTCCTCTCCTCCACCCTCCTCCTCTAGGTATCGGATCTGGATTTCTGGCTATCAAACGCTCCAATGCCCTCTAACACCCAGGTTGAGTCCTTCCCTCCCTCCCTCTCTCCTCATCCTGCCTTCCTATTCTCAGTTACACATCCCTGTCTCATAATCCTGTGCTTCATGGACATTCCTCACATGTTGGATTGATTGCACCCCCGTTTAAATGGCTGTCTCTTTCTTTTTTATTTTCCCCTCTCTTCCACAGGTCACGATAATCTATACCTTCCCATTTTTAAGTGCACTATTTTTTCTAGCATGTATGTCTGCACATTGTATGTCTGTGATTGTGAAACGGTGCTGGTGGTTCGCCTTAGTTTTTTTTTTGTGCCCAGCAGTTGTCTTTCTGCTGTTTAGGTTGAAGTGGGAGAGAAACAAGTCTGTAGTGGGGTGTGTTTGTTTTATTGATGTCCATGACGCATCATGAAGGGACCTCTGACTCCTCCTTTGTCACATAGAGCTTTTTATAGTTCAATGTTTTTTTGTTTTTAATTTATTGGTCCTGGGAGTTTTTTCTAGAAAGATGAAAATCCCCGATTTAGAAACTCTTAAAGTAACTTTTTAGCTAAAACGACTTGGCATAGAGATTTTCTACTAAAGTCTTAGTTTTATTTGTGTGCAGGAAAAGGAATAACAGGCTCTGAGATAACATTTAAACAGGTTTATTGTTTTTCCTTTAGTGTGTTTTTGGAGCAGCAGAGCTATAGCTTCCTTAAACAGGATAAAGCTAAATCTAAGCTTCCCTTGTTTACATAGAACTCTTAACTGGATTTGTTGGTACTAAAAAACAGATGCACAGCATAATCGAGTTGTTTTGATTTAAAGCAAAAAGTGCTAAATATTCTAATTGCTGCTATGATAATAAAAAAATCATATTTTTATATTTAAGTTTAGTGCAACCAAGAACAGGCTGGTTATTGGTAGGAAGGTTGGAAACAATATAGAATTAAAGCTTTTCTCTTTTAATCATAATGTTCTTATGGTATGGAGTCCATGGAAGAAGCAAAGGTCGCAGAGGTCTGAGTGCTCTGGGTTTGCTCTGTTTCTATAGATGTAAAGCAGAGCTGCCCTTCCCCCACTTGTAGGAGCTAAGGCACTTTTATCTCACTTTCTTTAACAAATTTTCCAATTTGGGAATGAAAAACAGACAGTCGTAGAGCTGAGACTTAAGGGGAGCCTGGCTTCACTTTAATGCCATTTTCAAACTGCAGTTAAAAGCAACACAACAGGCTTGTTTACTTAAAAAACTTTTGTATTTGTTTTATATTTTCAGTAACATTGGAATCAGAGCATTTTCAAACTAGTATGAATAGTGGTTCCTTAAAAGAAAATAAACACAGTCAGGGAATTGCTTTTTATTACATTGTCATCTTTATAGAGTAACACATTTAAGGGACTGAAATAATTAAGCACTAAGTTAGGGTTTCCCAGGTGCTACTTGTCAGCTTTGAAACAATTACGTTAGTCCAGCAATATGCAGGGTATGGGCAGCATTTTATCATTTATAATTCAGGACAGCTGAAGAAAATTGGGGGTTGCATTCATCCCCTTTTCATCCTTTTGATTCTCATTCGCTGGCTCTTACACCTTTAATACACCTCTTAGGGGAACTGGCTTAATCGAGCAAAGAGCTGTCTAGATGTCAGACGTTGGGCTCTTTAGCCCTGAAGAGACAGACTCACCTGGAAATGTTCCTCAGAGCATTTTTTTTTTTTTTTTGTATGGCTGTCACTCCAGCATAACAGATCCTAGATCCTGGCTGAAAGGCTAACCGTAGCTAGATAGTGCTGTAGTTTTAGAAAACTTCCAAGCATGTATGTTTACACACACATACTGTATATTTCAGCTAAACATATGTGTTGCTTCCACTGGTACTTGCTGTTTCTTGCTCCAGCTGATGTATTAATTGGATGTTTATGTTCGGGTGTGTGTCTGAGCAGGAAGCAGCAACAGTAGCAGCAGCAGAAGCAGCCCCAGAGCCCTCCATCACAGCGCCCGACTCCGAGCCAGAGGAACCCAAAGACACAGAAATGGAGGAGACGGTGAGTCACTGCTGATGATGTGATCGTCTCAAAGTGAAGTTATGGCTGCAGAGCTCGTGATTCCAGTTCACAGCCTCCTGGCAGCATTCATCCCAGCAGCAACTCACATTTTAAAATGTTGGTGTAAACGATGTAACACAGACTTGACAGTGTCTCTTGTTTTTTCTGTTGAAATCCTGCTAGTCTCCATGCTCCAGCTTCTTTATTTAGCTTTTGAAATGTATTTGATTCAGCCAAGCTCTAATTTATGCTTTTGTGTTTCAATGATAAGAAATCATCAAAACACAAGAAAAAGAAGCAGAAAAAGGAAAAGGAAGAGAAGGAGAAGAAAAAGAAGAAAAAGCATCACCACCATCGCCACCACAGTGACGGAGGAGGGGAGCAGTCTGTCCAGAACGGCACCGTTGAGGAGGAAGAGCCCCTCCCGGTCAGTGGTAAAGTAGTAACCCTAAGGTTATTTTTTATGGGCATGTAAGGATTTAGAGTTAAGTAATTTTTATTCTGTGCTTCTAATTCATTGTCTGAAGCTAGAGGAGCTTCTCAGGCAGAGAATCTTTTATCTTTATTGTTTTTACTACCTCCAACACTCATTTACTGTTACAACAACACTCAGCAACACAGAACAAGCTCTTATTGCCTGCTTGACGCTGTGAGGGACACAGAACGGCTGAAGTGACCTGAGTTCTTCTCTCCTTTCAGCCAATGTCTAATTACTGCCTACTGGCTGAGAACTCCTACATCAAAATGGTGAGTGACTGTGATGTCTTCTATGAAATTCCCTCTGTCATTTGTCCTTATTTGGCTCATAGTAACATCAAATTCCTAAATTAATTTAGTTGTTTCTAACAGGATGGTGTTTTATTAAAGATATGCTCATATTTAGATTGTGTTGCAGATTCAGTCTGAATGGAATAAAAAGGAGACTTTGTTTTATAAACCCATTACCAGATTAAAATCTTAGTCTGTTGTGCATTTGAATTCAGATTCTTTTCATTCTATCCTAAAATGAAATCCAGGTAGACTGTTTGGTTTCTAAAGTAAGCCATTTAGTTAATAAGACCTCAACCCTTCTGCAAATAAATCCAGATGTTCTCTGAAGGTCTCTGAGGTTTAAGACCACTGTAAGACAAACAAAGAACACATCAGGGCTCAGAGTTGTAGAGAAGTTAAAAGTAAGGCTGGGTTTCTATCTTTGTTTTGACTATTGAACGTCTTCTGTTCAATTCATTAGATCATCTGAAAGTGGGAAGAGTAGAGCACAAACGCAAACCTATTAAAACACAGCCTTACCCAACCAGGCACACAAGGAGAGATCCATGGTTAAGTGGGATAATATGACCCCTTGTGGAACTTTTCAAAAAGAAAAATATTGTTGAAGGGTTAAGTGATTTATTTAAGTGCGATAAAAAAAAAAAAAAAAAAACAACTACAAATTAAAAATCAGTCTAAATTGTTTTCTGATGTCTTGTTTTCTTTAAAGATGAAGGAAGATGCTGAAGAGGTACTGGTTACCATTCTGTCAGTGACAGAGTATTTGACACACTCCTTCCTAGATGTGCTTTTCTCTTTTCCACTTGTTCTTTACAGACCGCCCTCTTGGCCAGATAACATAAAGCCTTTCTGGAGTGTTGCTTTGGTTTCTCAGGCTGTTTGTTCCTTCTGTTTATCTTATTGTTTTCAGTCTGGTTTCATGAAACAGTCTAATTTCCTGGGTTTCCTAGTGTTTTAAACTGCTGGGGAATTGAATTAGGCATTGTGATCATGAAATATACCTGTTAAGTTGCCTGTCCTGTCTATTCTCAAGGTGTATGACATCCAGGGAAACCTGCAGGATGGTAGCCAGGTGGTTGTGTCTGTTATATTTGAAAACAAGTGCAACAGCTTCCTTAAATCCATGGAGTTCAACGTCCTGGACTCTCTGAACTCCAAGCTGCAGAGGCCAGAAGGCTCAGGTCCACATGATGGCGTTGTTGTCCCCTTTCAGCTTCCTCCAGGTGAGAAATTATCTGCAGAAGGCATTCAGAGCACCCTCCTCAAATATTGGCTAACTTTTTTTTTGTTGTTTATTTGTTTTCTCCCTGATCAGGAGTTTCTAATGAGGCACGGTTTGTTTTCACTGTGCAAAGCATCGTAATGCCACAGAAACTGAAGGGAACTCTAACTTTCATTGTTAAGGTCGGTATTAAAATTCACAGCAGCGCCACTCTTCCTATTAATAAAGATGCACAACATTGCAGAAGGATTTCTAGAACACATTCACTGTGACCAAGATTATTTTGTTTTTTGTTCGGTTTGCTTTAGCTTGTTTTGCTGCTGTTTCCGTTTTAAAGAACCAGTGTAATCATAGTGGTAGTTGCTATTTGATCTTATTAGACAAATTTACAATTTAGTCTTTAGTCCTCTCACTATAGGAATCAAGGGTGAGCTCATATGCTAATGGGAATATGAGTTTTATGTGTTGGACATTTAAATTAGAACTCATTTTCATCATTTAAAAAATCTAGAATTTCTTTTTTTATAGAGGCTTCAAAACTACAAATGTATAATATTCCAACTGATTCCTGGATGTTATTGTTTTGAAGAATCTTAGACAAAATAACTTCTACCAAAACAAGAAAAATATGTAATTGTAATATTTTCTGTCTTTTTTCCCTCAGAATGAAGATGACTCTACTCATGAGAAACTGGACTTTAAACTGCACTTTACCTGCACTTCCTACCTGATCACTACTCCTTGTTACAGGTGGGGTTTAAGTGCACACATGAAAAATACTTTTTTTACTATAGAATTTTTTTCTTTGCAACCGTGTGATCACAGTTGGAATAAGAAATCCCATCCCTAGACATAGTCTTATGCTTTTCCAGAAATCTGTGTGTTTGTAGATCAGTGCTTCTCCATAGAGCCAGAAACTAAATCCAGTCCACTTCATCCCTGAGAGACTCTTTATAAATGCTTCTCACTTGTGTCCAGAATAAAAACCTGCTGAACATTCTGTTCTTTGGTTAACGGTATGTCTTGCAATGTGGTTTGTTTTTAGTGACGCTTTTGCCAAACTGTTGGAGTCGGGAGACCTGAAGAGCAGCTCGATCCGGCTGGAGGGGGTTAACATGCCCTTTCATCATCTACTGGCAAGGATTTGCTTTCACCACCACTTTTCAGGTAGTTTTGGTTTGTGTTTAAATGCTTAAAATGTTTCCATATCTAAAAGATGTTTCCATTCAGTACCAAACAGACATTTAAAAAGATAAATAATTTAAATGGTTTTCTTGTTGTGCAAAACTGTAAAACAAATTACATGACAAAACTGTTAATGGTCCTACAGTCGGCTTGTTAGCTTAGCACAAGGTCCCTTAATTCTTCCCACAATCAACTTTAACGCCGGCACAGAGTTTGCTGCTTTGCAATGACTCAAACTGAGCCAGTTGTGGGGTTATTATATTAGAAAACCTGTTTTTTTTTTTACTTTTAAAGATCTTTAAGAACAATAACCTTCAACATTAATAGAAAACACAATATTAGCATTAATTCTTCTGTTGCTTTAAATTAATTCTTTATCTATGAAATAATTTATATTCACCTATTTTTCTTTCAATGGAGTTCATAAACTTAAAAATGTTCATATAGATCTGGAGCAAGGCATGTTGTTCTCCTGCTTTAAGGTTACAAACACAAATTCTCAAAGGTTGACTCCAACAGTGGAGGCACTGAACCCAAGATATGAAGACAAAGCGAAAAAATCTTAAATAACAAGTCTTCAGTTCAAAATCCAATGAGGCTTTTGTTTATTGAGAACAAGCTGAAGAGAAACCCAACTCCCAGCAGCAGTATATGCCACAAACAACATCTAGTTAGATGGCTCAGCAGGCTAAATCCAACAGGCTCAAATAACGGAGGAGGGAAGATCTTGCAAACCAAAGATGAGTTGCAAACGGACAGGTTGGCTGTGAGGCTTCCTAAAGCCTAATCCGAACAGCTGCCATTCAACAGGTGAATTATGGGCTGAGTAGAGCTTCTTCTGTTAGAAGTGGCCTATAAATTAAAGATTAATGGGTTTGCAAGCATAACATAACAAAAAGAAACTCGAAGCAGTTAGAAAAGTGTTCCAAACCAACATTAATAAGTTCGGCCTTGTCTCCTCCCATCAGTAACTTACCAGAATCCATTGATGCCCACTTTACACAGTAGGAACTGAGACACAGCATAAGCTACAACGGAGGTCTTCAACAGGGGGTCCGCGAACCCTAGGGGGTCCACAGAGGTTGATTAGACTTTTATTTTATATTCCCCCTGCAATTTTTTCCACTAATTGAAATGTCTTTAAATATACATTAACATAATTTCAACTCGCTGTAGTAAACAGATAAATGGAGGCAGAAGATGACTCAGTCATCAGAGCACACATTCAGCAGCTTTTTCAAGCTGGGCACCATTTCATTCACAACACCTGTCCTGTCCCACCAACCACAAATCAGAATCAGAAATACTTTAATAATCCCAGATCGAAATTACTTTCGTTACATGACTCCATGACTATAGGACCAGTTTGATATAACACAATTTCTCACAATATATGTAATTAGGGGTCCCCACTCCTGAGCTACAATATTATGACGAAACTTTGAATATTTCAGAAGAGTTGAAGAAAGGCTAATAGTAGAAGCTTTAGATATATCTGAGCTATGCATCTTGCTGCCCAGCATGGCAGTTTTTTCTGGTCTTTACAAGGCATTAGTGTTTACTAGCGCCTCCTAGGGATGGGGTCCTTAGAATCTATATAGTACTCTATCAGTACAGGCCTTTTACCATTCTAAAGAAATTAACATAAATCAACTGTCCATTTCTGTATAAAGGTCAAAACATTTTGGCGTCAGGTTATTTAAGAGGACATTTAAAAGCAACATGGCATCTAGGTTTTTGTCTGAAAGAGCAAATCATGAATACTTTTTATAAGAGCAGTAGATAATTCACTCTACTCTAGACAGATGTCTCTTTAACGTGCAATCCAAAATTGACCTCCTCTCCTCCTCATTATCTTTGGCTAGTTGTGGAGAGGATCGACTCCTGTGCCTCCATGTACAGCAGGTCCATCCAGGGTCACCACGTCTGTCTGCTGGTCAAAACTGTGAGTGGAATATTTCCTTCTTTGCAAGGTCTTTATTACTGTGATACACCTGTATTTAAAACATGTACACATAAAAAAACATGAGGTGGTTAAAAATAGACAAATGAAGTTGACTTTTACATCCAAAACCTTGAGGTTTTTTTTCCTAAAACGCATCCATATTATTTTTGTTGTAAATGAAACACTGCTACTTTCTGATTTTGTTATTGAATCAATAAATGTGAATTTGTTTCTGGTTCTTTCCCAGGCCGGTCAGACTGTGTCCATCGATGCAAAATGTGACGAGCCGACTCTTCTTGGGAATGTTCTGGATGAGATCAAGCAGACCTTCTCTCAGTGCTGATTGTTTCTGACGGCCCCAGGGTGCCCCGACCCCTTCATGCCACCCACTCCATCATTAAAGCGACACAATCACATTATGAAACACTGCGGCTGGGACCTCCAGCTTCACCCTATTTATTAGTTGTCCAGGTTTCAAGATTACCGTTTCCTTGCCTCGGCTCCGGGGCCCTCACTTTAATTTTTCCTCTGCACTCTCATGCTTTCTGTTGTTTTGCAGACTTTTTTCATGCTTTGTCTTCTCTGTGGTGCACTTTGACTTGTACCTTGGTTTTCCAGCTTCTCCTTGCTTTGGATTGCCTCACATCCTCTGCTGTCCCCGGCCGGCCTTACCCTCCGCCCTCCCACTCTGCTGGCAGTTCACTCTGACAGTCATGTGACGTAACAACTGGATGTTTGCTGTTGATGGTTGAAATGTATTTTCACTGTTTGAGGTTTTATGTTTTCGTCTGTAGTTGTTTTTTGTTTTGATGTATGAGTTTCGTCTTTCCTCCTTTGAAGCCTGTCTGCGCCTTTCTCAACACACCGTTTTCCGCTTACTGAACATCAGTGCAGCTCTGCTCATTTGGCCTGGGACGCCAATGGGACCGACTCCTTCTCCACCAAGGTCCCTAGCTAGAGGAAATGTAGTATCCTAGCTTGGTTCCTCAGCTGTTGTGTAAAGATGAAACATTTGGGCAGCTGCATTGATGATGGAGCAGAGATGAAACCAAAGCTAGATACACTAAAAGGCGGGGGTTTCGGGGTTGAATAAAAGCTTTTTTCCCCTCATTTTTTTCTTGGCAGTGCTCCGAACAGATGTGGGATTTTAACAAGTACGACTTAATGGTTTAGTTTTTTTTTTTATTATTTTGTTCTGTGCCTTTTCTCCTACATTCTACTCAAGCTCTTTAGGACAATTTGCATATCATTCCTTCCATAAATAAAACTGAGTAAATAGTTTATACATAACTATATATCTATATATATATATATATATATATATATATATATATATATATATATATATAGTACAGCTGTCCAACATGAAGGAGTATTATTTGCTAGCAGATGCTGTTTAGGCCTCATGTACTCCAGTATTACTGTAACTCCAGAGAGGAAGTATTTCCTCTTGTACCACTTGAAGGTTTGCATCACGGTTGATCCTCCTGTCAGTCGGTACCCAGGTGACATTCCTGATGTTTCCCTGCCCTTTGGAAAATCACCATGCCTCTTCTCATGCATTATCGTTCTTCAGAAGCATGATTGTTTAGTTTTTTTTTAATCTTTGAAGAGATTTGTCACCTTAGAAATCTCCCTTTAGTTTGATTCTGTTTAGAAAGATGAAATTATGTTCACATTTACTGTTACGGCCCCTCCTCTGCATCCGTTTGCAGTTGTAGATACTCTTGAGTGTTTTTGTGACCTACTGGTCAGGTCAGCCATTCCATGATATTCAGTCTGAATACAGAGGTGATCCTTTTTTCATGAATGTCAAAAGAAAATCATGTATTGGTCCTGAAAACAACCTGTTATTCCAAAAAAAAACAATTATCTCATTCTTCATTCGAAACATGTGCATAATAGATTAAAATCTGTATATTGCATGATCAGGAATGTATTTTTTTTTTTTTTTCTTTCACAGGACATGCTCACACCAAGAGTAAAGTCATTCCATGTGTTCCTTTTTTATCCCCTAAATATTTTTGTTTACATGATCATTCTGTATTTTTGATGGCATTGTGTTTTTACTGGTTCGGACATATCACTGAATGTTTTAAATTATTGAACATGGGGGAAGGAAGGGTTTTGGTGTCATCACACCAAGGGTGCGGGGCTCAGAAAAATGGGCAGATCACCTATGCAGCATACTGAGAAACAAACAACCCACCCTCTCGCTTTTCTTAAGTTCATCGTGAGCCGTTTTACATTTGGCTTGTGACATTGAAATATACTCTCAAATTAAGGATTTTAAACGGTTATTTATAACTTTTTTTTCCTTCTCCATATTCTGCTATCAAGCTTGCATTGTAAATTGTCATAAAGTCAAGGGGACGACATAAAATATATGCTCTCCCTTTAAAGAAAGTCCACCAACAGAAATAAATTGTGGGAGTAGATTCTGTAGACTTTTTTTCTCTCCTTTTTTTTTGTGTTACAAAAAATAAATCAATAAAACTCATATACCAAAGCTTTTTGTGTGTATGATAGGCTTCCGCAGTCTGCTAGTTGGTGATGAGTGAAATTACCTGCCTGTCTGTAACTCTGTATTTTGAAAGAGAACTGGGGCTTATTTACTTATGGTTACTAAAATATTAGCTTTCATCATTAGTAAACCACCCCTGAGCTTCTGCATTGCCCTATGCTCAGCTGGAAACTGAGATTTTCCAAACATTGAACTGGGGTTGATTAATTTTTTGGTTCTTTAATCTCCAATAAATGTGGTATATTAAGGAAATGTTCCATAATGACACTCGGAAAGGTTGTTTACCAACTTTTACATTATGTACTAATTTTCTTTTACTTTGGTGTTAAGAAAAATGAATGTTAAAGTTAATGTTCAGATCAATCTGTTCTCAAGAAACATACTGGCATCCTTACAGATGGGCTTTTTTTTTTTTGCCACTAAATGATTTGGATCCATAGGTGACAATGGGAATCGCATAGTTCTTGTGTTGCCCTTTCGTCCTGGCCACCTGAACTCTTCTCCTGTATTTAGAGTCAGAATCAGGCAGAGGACATTCCACAATCCCCTGTATTGTTTTGACAATCAAGGCCAATTTCTCCTTTTCCTGTGTAGCATCATTACCTCACTGTTATATGTAGACCCGGGATGCTCTTTGTTGTGGTTCTGTATAAATGCACAAGTACTGTGAAGGACTGCTGACTCATCAGTTCCTTTGAGAAAGAAGAATCCCTTCTGACCCCCAGGGCAAAGGTGACCTGGGTTTAAAAAAACGCCTAAATATTTACCATGAAAAGTTTATGCTTTTATTTTGAAAGCCTGTAGCCGGAAATGGAGTAAACCTAGCGGCTAACTTGATCAGAGCTGCTTTATTCTGAATGTACTGAGCTCCCGGGGATCCTTCACGCCAAGAGAGGAAGAAGACGCACCAGCTGCGACCAAAAAAAAAAAAAAAAAAAAAGCCCAGCCGTTGTGGTTTTTATACTCCGTTTTCTTTTTCTTCTCTTTTCCCCCTCCGAAGACACGCTGACGGAAACCAGCGTTCACAAACTCGTTGGTTCTTTGTTGTTAGCTGTTGTTCGCACCGACCTAGCTTTGTCCTTCGCATACACAGTTGGCTGTGGGTTGCTGAAATCTATTAATATTGTTCGTTGTGGAATATGGCTCAGCATGTGCACCATGTAGCCAGTTCACAAAAAGCACTAATGCTGGAGATGAAGAGCCTCCAAGATGAGCCGGTGGAGGGATTCAAGATAACTTTAGTGGACGAGTCGGACATGTATAACTGGGAAGTGGCGATATTCGGACCCCCAAACACTCACTACCAGGGTGGTTATTTTAAGGTGAGTGGCTAACGTTAGCTAGCTCCACATCTATTGTTCTACCGCGGATTTTATTTCCCCTACTTTTCCCACACAAAGAGCAGGACTCCAGTTAGCTTAGCCTTTCTATGGACCAACATAAGCAGGTTAAAGTTATTACCTACATTGTTTAACTAATTGTTGTTTCCTGTTTAATCGTTGCTGTGATACAACATAGCTCTTTGTTCAACTTTAAACCAACTCTCCTCAATCAGAATTTATCCACCTTTAATGTTGAGATTTTTTTTTAAATAAAGTAGCTTATTAATGGGTTGTTTTTCTTTGAAAATTCCCATTTATTGTCTCCTTACAGTCGCAGTCTAGATATGATTGATACATCTATATTGGAACAAAGGCTGCGGTGTGAATGGGACCTTCTTTAGTTGGCTAACTAATTCAATAATCTCCTCTGTGCTCATCATTACAGCCCAGATATGTTTCCTTTTGAAATGTAGCCTTTTCTAACAGTTTGACTGGTGTTATTTATTTTTTATTTTTTTTATAATCAGGCCAGAAAACACAATTCCTTTCAGATCAATGTAAATTTCACTGCGGAAACATTGTTCCTGTTCTACTAAACTGCTCTAACCAAACACAATCACATTTATTTTCAAATTAAAATAGAAAAATAATAGATAAAAGGGTTTTATTCTCATAGTCAGGGTTTGGAAAATGCCAAAAATATACATAAACCAAAAAAGCATTTATTATAAATATATTATTTTAAACTCAATGTCGATATATTTACTTAACTATATTTATTTAACTAAACAAGTTGTAATAGCTTTATTTTTACTTGTATTGTGACTTTGGAATGATAATTTATTTAGGATAAAACCTAAGACTGTCACAATATTTCAGCAAATGTACACTGTTATAAAGAATTTCCTTTGGTTTTATTTGATCCAGGCAAAATTCAATTATTCTTAAATGCCACCAGTGTTTTGTTTTCACTCCTAATCTAAACCTGTATCCTTTCAAGTCCATTTCCATTGTTTTCAGCTGCAATCAGACCTAATCATACTTGTGTGTCTTCCAATAATCTGAGTAATCTTGCTCCTCTGCTGTCTGTTTTCTGTGTACTAAACAAACTAGATAAACTTGTCACCTTCCTAACTGATTCAATCATTTCTTTGTCTTTTGTTTTAACTTGTCAGCCTTTAGAAAGGTTGGCCGCCTATTTTCTTATTCAGATTCGCTCCTTGATGACCCATATAGTAGGCATCTATGGTCTGGTTTCGGGTTTCCTCTTTAATATGTCGCTAATCTTTTTTGTTTTTCTAACATGCTTCCTCCCCTGGGAGTAAATGTGTTTGACAGATGTTCTTTGTCTGTACAGATTATTTCAGTCAACCATAGATCACCTTATCGAATCTCTTGGATGAAAAATATTCTCCTGAATATTTAAATCTTTAAAAATTACATTCTCTTTATGCTGTTTTTTTTTACCAGGTAATTAAGCTCATTTTAGATCCTACCCACAGCTACATACCTACAGTAGATGATGTTGCCATAGCAAAAAGCTTTCTGTCGTTTTATCTCAAACTTAATAAAACTTAAGGTTCTTTAAAATGCTCTGATTAAAATGCATTCTGTGCGAAAGGGGTTCTAGATCACCGGGATCTGTTAATTCCGTCTAAAACTTGGAATTAATGCCAGATAAAACAAAAAGGTAGTTACGTTATTGAACCTGTAGAGGGTATAACCTTCAACTATTGCTGTAATGTATACATTTGCACTGTTTTAAACAAGTTTAATAGATCTGTTTTTGCAAAACAACCCTTTAGCTGTTTTGAAATTGAGTAATTCCAGTGCTTGAGAAGCACTCTGGCCGTTTTTGGGGTTTTTTTTTAATCAAGCCTGTGAACACAAGCAAAGGGCCCCAGCACCTCTGGGGATGGTGTTTTAGTTTGTTGGTGTGGGTGCTACAGGATTCCTTTGTCGGGACAGGAATGCACATCCCGGCTGTGAAATACGCCTCATGGTTATGACTCATTGTTCTTTTCTGGGTTTCCATCCAACCAGTTTGCCCGACTCAAACAGTTTTATCCAGTTACGTTGCTGAACAGAAACGGAGCCAATCCTAATGAAACCTGGCTGAGTCAGGGTTTCTTGTTTTTCTCTCCATTTTTTTTTTTTTTTTTTTTTGATTTCAGTCACATTGTAGCTCCAGGCCACACAGTGCATTATAAATATATCATCCAATCCTGATTAGGGGACTGGGGCATTAAGACTTTAAACTGGCTATTGATCTGGAGGTTTCATGTGCTCCCCTAAACATTCCTGTTCAACCGACACGTCTCAGGTATCCGCTTGCCTTCTGCATTGTACCATGAGGTATCCCCAATCCCTCAGCCTAATGTGAGTGTCTGATTACACACAGAGGCTGGCAATGATCTTGGATGAATATTTAAGGTACACTGGCCGATTTGGCTGCTCTTGTTGGACAAGCATGTTTCTCTAGGTGGTCACTGATACACTTTATCTCTAAAAGCAGCCAATCGTTCTTATTAGAGCAACCAGCTTTTGGTGTAAAAATCAAAATACAATGGGCTCTTTTTAAGGCTGGTTCACACTGTCGGGTGATTATTTTTATCTTTTTTTAAACTTAAGAGATCCTTATGATGATTTTATAGAATCAGACATAGGCCAGGTTTGGTTGTACAGTGTGTTATCTTCAACCATGCCACAAGTGCAGTACATCCCACACAGGCTAATTTAGTTGCTGTCAACGCGGATCTGACAAAGTCTCTGCGTCCCAATAGTTTTATTTGCTGTGAACAGTGCGGAAAAGGTGGTTGTAAGCTACTTTTAAGCGTGAAACTCCACTTCAACACCTCATCCATACAGTCTGTTCACCAGGATTATGACCCTACCTTTTAATTTTCTGTAGTTTGTAGCTGCAGACCCCTGCATAGCGGGAGCTGTCGCTTGCCAATCACTCAGGGAATTCCTGTTGCCTTTGGTAGCAACTGGAATTAAGAGTGTTTCTGATGGTAAGATATGGAAGTACCAGAATATAAAATAAACTAATTTTCGCTGGCAAATTTAAAAATTTTAGGTTATTGTATAAATTATAACCAGTTTTTCTGTTCTTGGGCAAAAATCGGCGGTTTTATTGTCAGGTGAACTAGCCTTTACTTTGGCGGTACATAGAGGCAGGTTTCTGCTCTTATCTGTACTTATGATCAAATACTTCATGATATTAAACCTAATTTTTCTCCAGGTACACACCCCATATATTTTTGCCCTTTGCTTCACAAAGGTAGCTTCTTCTACTTCTCAAGTCTTTGATTCATGCCATAGTGTGACATGTTTGATTTAAATTTGATTTTGTTTACCTCTGCATTTACTTTTTTCGATCAATAAAATTTAAATCTTGTTTCCCACGGTTTGGTACATCTGTGTGAAATCAGATTTCGACCTGTTTAACAAGGTTTAACCTCTTTTTTTTAAATCTCTGTTTTCCAAAACACAGGAAAACTGACCTAACTTAGAGGAAGGCTAATCGTTTCCCCAAAGGCTCCATGAGTAATTGTGACTGAGAGCCAGAACATTGACTGACCCAAGTTATTTCAGACATTTATCTGACAACAATTTTTTTATTGCAACTTATTATTAAAATGTGATTTACAGTACAGGTAACTTAAGTTTTTTCTATTTTTAAAAGAAATAAGAAAATGTAGAAGTTGTTATATTCTTGATTCCAGGTGTAGTTCTTAAGAGTGTAGTTTTCCACTGAGCCTCTTTATCTTCGACTTCTGTAAAGAAATACTAAAGTAAAGTCTAGTACAATATTAAGTTGTTATATTATTATAATGTGGTAAAATCTCCACAATGGTCTTTTCTAAGTGCTCTGTATGTCTGCAGCTATATGAGGTGACGCTACTTTACAGAGCATACATCTGTATGAAGAAACAAAAATCTGCCCTGCTGTATACAGACCCTGAAACACTCCATGTATTTGTTGGCTACATAGAAGAAGCTGATTAGTAAATACCCACCCTTTCCTGTTGAGCTGTTGTCTTGGCTTGCTTGCTTCTCCACTTTGGCTTTTAAGCCATGGAGCAGTAGTCTAGGGACGGGTACAGGCAAGACACCCAGCTGCACCAGGATCGGCTGGGCACAGTTTCCAGAGTCATGTTCCCCCCCCCTAGGCACTGTCACTGAAACAAGAGCAGGCCGAAGAAAAAAGGAAAGAGGACTGAAATGGCTTGCTCAAGAGCAGACAGATCCCCTCCTCACAGTGCTGCCCCCTCCCCTTTCAAAGCAGAACTTACAAGCAGGGGTGAGTTTGAGGCCCCAGCTAGTTCTAATCGTCCCCTGAAGCAATGGCAGGGGTTTGTCTCTTTCCTGTTTAGGCTAGCTGTGTGGTTATCTCTGAAACACCGCAGTTTCTGGAGCTCAATCTCATATGAACCATTCTGAAGATCTCTTAGTTTTAATCTGTTTCCTTCCTTTTTTTTCGTTTGAGAATGAAGATAATGGCGGGGGGCTATTGATAAACTGGAAGATGTATCTGCTTGGTGTTACATCTTCCCTCTTCTCAAGGTCCCTGTCATTAGGGATGACCATAAGTAGTGTGTGTCTGTGTGTGTGTTAAGATGTGTAGAGGCCTTGAGGAGGTGCAGAACCAGAACAGAATGATTTGTTCTTTTCGGGTCGTTCATTGACCTCCTTTAGCCTGCCTTCATGTCATTTTTCAGCGGCTGGGAGTGTTCTCTTTCTCATTGCTGTTTTTTTTTTTTGGACTCAAGGCAACTTTTAAAGTCCCAATCTCAAAAAAATGTTTACAGAATTGGTCACTTAGTTCATGTTCTGAACTCATGGTAGCAGGAAAAATGTCTTTGTTTTTGTGTCTTTGGTAGAAAATTGGTTTTAGTCTTTGAGTGGCTGAACCCTGGCTACACTCTTTTATAAGTAGGTCAGATTTAATTTGGGAATTTGCTGTTATGCAACCTGTGTCTCATTGGTTAAATGTAGTTATTCTCTTCATGTTTTAGTTTTTCTATCACATGACATATTATTGGGGTTTCCCTTTATATCCATTGCTGACAGATAATTGGGAAGTTGGCCAGGATAATGATTTAACCAAAGTGTGAAAAAGCCACTTTGAGACGACTCGTTCCTGGTCTGCTGTGACTTTGGTTTTTGGTCTCATTACATCTAATCAAGCAAAGTAACCTTTTTTCATTGCATCTGTCATTGTACACAAGAGACCAGCAAAAGAATCCATGAGGGGGTGTTGGATGACTTTTTGGCTACGTTTACACAGTAGCCTGAAATGACCCAGATCGGATTTTTTTTTTTTTGGCCCATATCAGACCTGTATCTGATCTTTTCATGGCTGTCTGAACAACAAAGATCAGATTTTTTTCCAACGCGACCCGGGCCATTTGGCTATGTGGTCCTGAATCCGATACGAATCTGATCTTTTCAAATGCGAGCTGTGTCTAAACAGCCAGGTCGCATTCATCTGACCTGAACGCCATTAATACATGACAAATATTACTATTCTGGGTCTTGCTATAAAGAAGCAGCAAGAAAAACAACAACCATGGTGGACGATGATGCGGAGAGCAGTATTTATGTTTAACCATATTGAAAAGATAGGTTAGTAGGTAGGAAGAGGAAGTAAGATGCTTCCAGTTGATGGTTCATGTAGCATAGAAACCTCCTAATATTCCCATCTGGTGCATAGGAACTGTACAGTTTCCGTTCATCCGTTATTTATTCTTTCTTTTTGTGTGTAACTTTTTTTTTATTCTTTTTAAGAGAGCTGTAGTTTGCAAATTTTTTTGGCTAAAGATCTTCCAGATTCAGCAGCACAACAGTGCAGAGTTTCTTTCCTACCTAAGATGACTTTTTTTTCTGTTGACCCTGTAAACTGCGAAGGAATGGGAGCTGCAATTTGCACTATTCAGATTAACTCAGCGATAACATGGAAATTGCTCGCTCCGGGAGCCGCATTTGCGTTAGGTGTAAGCGTACCTTTGGTTGCAAGGATCTGCAAGAAATGTGACATGCAGTAGTGAGTTTTGTCCACAGAATTATACATAGGTTTGTGTATCTTAAAGGAGAACATTCATAAAAGGGCATTTCTTAAAAATGACACTTTCCTGTCGAGGGGAATTTGTGAAATGCATGCACCCAGAGTTCCAGAAACATTCTGAGGCAATTTTGTTTGCAGGTTGAGTGGGCCATGAGGTTCATTAAGAGCTAAAATGACAGAAACTAAAGAACACAGGTAAAAACCAAAGGAAGAAGGGGCTTCTTGACGGAAAATGTTTTTCATTTGACCATTTTCCACAGTTTGCTTATATTTAGTCTGGGAGAGTTGAAATGAATGAAGCCTTTTTCACAAATATTCTGTAAATGTGTTCAGACCCTTACAGAAAAAACCCACCAGAGTGAGAGATTGGGTCTTTACAGCTACCTCCCCACAGACATAAATGTTTATGTATCTGAAGGAGAGAGCGAGTGTTTGGTATTTTTAATACACTTGGATGTAACTTTGTGGTTATTTTTGTTGACCAAAGGAATATATTGGAGTTTTTTTCTTTTATTGCTAAAGTTTTCTTAATAATTATGGAATGAATGTTAAAAGAAACCAAAAAGCTTTGAATTCATCTTTTAGTTTGACGTCTTTAATTTTAAGAAATACTGAATACCTGAAGCAGTATACTGTTTTACTTTTGAATTTATGAAAAAGAGACTTTTTTCTGAAGATATTGAAATTAATACAAACAATATAATAAATGCTATATTTAATAATAATGAAATTTTGATAATGAAAACATAAGCGTCCTAATAAGGGTTGATTACGAAAAATTATTCCCCAACAAATATTACAAAAAAGGAGAATGGTTGAAGGGAGAAAAAAAAACAATATTAACTACTACATATCACTATTTAATAAATTGTATACTATAGTTTAGATTAAATATTAATTAAAAGAATTCTACAAATGTACAAAAGTAATGAAGAGTTAGAAGAATAGTATTCAAACCTACCTTTTTATAGTGGATATTTAATCTTTAGTTTACTGGTTTTATGTATTACAATGTGAAAAAGAGGAACTTAAATGACTTCATGTTTTTCCCTTTTGCCTCAGTCCTTGTTAATGTATAGACAAAATCTAGATTTATGTACTGCTTTATTTTAGAAGTGAACCTACCAATCTGTCTGCTGTTTGTCTGCTGTGTCCACCCCCCACTGACTCTGTGCCAGCTGTAAAGTGTACAGTGTGGCCTTGAACCCTGCCCTCTGCCAGCTTTCTGCCACGACTAGTCAAAGCCAGGGATTTAATGTTTTCCCCATTTGTGACCATGTCAGCATTTTCTCTTCAGGATTGCTGCACGGGGGCAGAGCAGATTATTTTTCCCGATTGTTGATCCCCTTTTTGACACATCAAACGTCGATAGTTACCGTAACTCTACACCTCATGGACCAGGACACAGAAACGCAGTTTAATTCATTTACATCTGTTGAGCTTCTGAACTTTGATAAAGATTTTGGCATCTTTGGGTTTAAATTATGCAACACGCTCACATAAGTCTAAATCCTTTATATAGCCCAACCCCCCTCCACACGGTTTATTTTTCACCCCAGCACACAGCCCATCTGACCAAGCTAAACCAACAAATGTAAGTAACTGTCTAAGAAGCTGATATGGGTATCAGCAGAAAGGTTCCTGCTGTGAGTGATGTGCATGCGTGTAATCGGTCCAATCGGTGCATGATCTCCACTGAGCCTGTCTCTCCTGAGAGGCTTTGTGTATAGGGAAGGGGGGTGCACACTGGTTTTATACATTATATGTGCAAGTGGTAGTTCCTCAATTTTAATACATATAATGGCAGATCACAGTGCGAGTGTCGGATTGTTTTGGTTCGTCTCTATGTGAACAAACCTCCACTCCTCCCAGACACTCATGTTTCTCTGAGACTGTGCAGCTGAGCGCCCTGCTAGGCTCTGGCCCCTCCTTCCTCCACATCCTATTCTATTACCCTGGCTTTAGCTGCTCCATGTGCACCTTTGAGTGGATAGCACCGACACCTCATTTTCATTACCACTGTGGAGATTTACCACATTTTGGGGAAACTTTCAGCCTTTCTTTAATCCAGTTTTGCAGTTTTATATATATAAAAAAGACTGTTGATGACTCACTGGATAAGTAAATGGCCTGTATTTATATAGCACCTTTTCAGGTTAGGAAACTTGTCCAAAGCGCTTTATACTACATCTGTCATTCAACTAGTAACACACACATTGATGGTGGTAAGCTACATTGTAGCCACAGCTGCCCTGGGGCTCACTGACAGAAGCGACTGAAAGCTGGAGCCGGGGCTTGAACCATCAACCCTTCGATTTTAGGGCAAACTCCTTCACCCAATTCAGTGTAGCCAAACAAGTATATATGTACACTTGTGTGGCTAGTTTTGGATATTTTAATGAGAGGGATAAATGAGAACAGAGTCAGAATCCTTGTCAGAAAAAACAAATGGTTGCTTTATTTTAAGTGCAGCTGAAAATGGTAATTTGAAGAAATTGTTTTTATTTGGGCCTTAATTACCTGTATAAGCATATAACAGGTTACAGCAATGCTGTCACCCGCATGTAACCTTCATCAAAATGTACCAGGCCGTATATGCCGTATATTACCTTAATTTGCTTCCATAGTCTGGATTAGTTAAGCTATAATAACTTCATTACTTAATGAATTAAGGTATGATAAGTACCAGATATTTCTCCCCCATCATCTATAGTTAATTTAGATATAACACATTTTCATATTTTGATGTAGAACAAATGGTTTGTGTGGATTGTGGAAAAAGTAGTAAGTTGTCTGATGTCAACCAAGAAGGATTATAAAGCTTCCTTTGACGTCACCAGTATTTCTTCTCTCACCTTCAGGCTCGAATCAAGTTCCCGGTTGATTATCCGTACTCTCCACCTGCGTTCCGCTTCCTCACCAAAATGTGGCATCCCAACATCTATGAGGTAGTATCAACATAACTTCTTGTTTATCATTTGTGAAAAGTAGTTCAAAATCTTCCTTAAATTGCTTTATTCCCAACAAATACAAAAGAAATTTTTCTTTTCCAAGTATCTATTCTAGCAGCATCAGAGGAATGAGTGAAGAGTTTTTTTTTCTTCTTCTTCTGTCAGCTGCTTTTATGACCTGTACAAACCTAATTTCTGTTTAATTCTGGTATTTAGAATTTTATTTTTTTCCACATTAGAGGTTGAAGCAAGACGTTTAGATGCTTGAGATCATCATGAAATTAGAACAGGGGAATTGAGAGCGATATAGTTTGTGAAGTTTTTAAGTCTTATAAAAAGATGCTCTACTCCCTGACTGAGCTGCTATGCATGATCACAGTTTAGTCCTTAATGCTTCAAATGTACTGAGTCATGAATACATACCCTCTGCTCAGAGGCTGCAGCCCCTCGTATTGCACAGTAAATGTGTAAAATGACCAGGCTGGGAATCTGCAGTGAAACTGGCTCTATGTCTGTTGAAACAAATGATAGAAAAATCTGGTGTTTCCTGAAAACATTTTTTAAAAACCGTATTTTCCTCTAAGCAAGCTATGTTGCCGCTGTCTCTGCAGAACGGAGACGTCTGCATCTCCATCCTACATCCACCAGTGGACGACCCACAGAGTGGAGAGCTCCCTTCAGAGCGGTGGAACCCTACACAGAATGTCAGGTGATTATGACTGATGTAAAACCAATGTGTCAAACTGTTCCTGCATTCAGCAGAAGCTGTTTTTGTTTTGGGTTTAATATTTTGGCAGATTATTTGACAATATAAACTGTTTACTTTCCTGTTATGTAACCTATTTTTAGAAACGTATGAAAAGAAGTGCTGAGGCCTGATCATCTTGGTTGAACAGGGCTGATCAGAACTGAATGCAGAAAGAGTTTTTATCAACTATTTAATATATTATCTTGTGAGGAAATTGTGAAGCCTTTTGTGTAAACCAAAGAAAGGAAGTTAAAATCCTCAAATTTTGCTCTTGAGAGCTGCAAAAATACTGATCAAATAACTATAAATTCAATATAAACATCTCCCTAAACTTAGCATGTTTTATTTGTTCATTAATCGGCGTGCAGATATGGTGTTTCCCCCGACGTCACATCTGACTGGAAGTCAGCTAAACAGTAGCAGATTAAAGCCTGGATTCACTCATTTTAGTTGTGATTTGAAAATAATTTCCTTCTGCCTGGTTGAAAAGTAGGGGAAAATATTTACAATATGCCAGACAGGGTCTGGAAGGTGTCGATGTGAGAAGAGCGATTACCATCTCTAACCAGAGGTTTTAGGAGCTTAGCTGAGATGTTGTGCTCCTCATTTGTTCCTGTTCATTTCTTTAGTCCTGCTATGAGTCTCACCTTACCATACCTCGCCTCCGACCTCTCTGCCCTATTCTTTAGTCTTTTGCTCACTCTGCATTACTTCCTCCTATTCTATTTTGACCCTCCTTTTCTTGTGTTCCAGGACCATCCTGCTCAGCGTTATCTCTCTGCTAAACGAACCAAACACATTTTCCCCAGCCAACGTGGACGCATCAGTAATGTACCGCAAGTGGAGGGACAGCAAAGGAAAGGACAGAGAATACATCGAGATCATAAGGTATCTACAGAGGGTACCATCCTTAATCAGGAAGCCTGCCTGGGATTTGGTGATTTAGAGCTTCTTCTTTTTTTTCTTTTAAAAGGAAACAGGTGTTGTCTACAAAAGCTGACGCAGAGCGGGACGGCGTCAAAGTTCCCACCACGTTGGACGAATACTGCGTCCGCACACAAGTTCCTCCCACAGACGACGGCTCCAACCTCCTCTATGACGACTACTATGATGACGAGGAGCTGGATGAAGATGAGGAGGAGGACGAGGAAGACTGTTGCTATGACGAGGATGACTCTGGCACCGAGGACTCCTGACCGTGCCACGCTGTGACATCACCCCCCCTCCCTCCCCTGACCAAATCTTGTTCTCACCCACTCGCATTCAAAGTCTCCCTCTTGTGTCACAGACTGAACTTTGACCCCTCCCTCCTCCTTCTAAAGGACACTCTTGGCACAGTCTGTCCAGCGTCTGTTACGTGCAATCACACTAAAGCCTGGGTCATTGAAAACACAGCAGCTGAATTGCTTTTGGTCTTTTCCTGTTTTTTTTTGTTCTCCGAGTATAGGTTACACACGATCCACACAGAAACTGCACTGATGTGTGTCAAAATGTCCAAATAAAGGTCTTTGAAGCCCTAAGACCTATTTCCTCCACAGATGTCAAGGGAAATGAAGCTTTCTCATGGCTGTTTCTCTCTTTTGCAACAGATCAGCTCACTGTAAAACAGGAGCGCAAGACCACTTAAACACATAGGCAAACTTTTCTGTGTGACCTTCAGTTGGCAGAAGGTTCACCTGACACACCGTCACCCACGACTTTCAGAGCCACAGGGCTTGGGCTGTGCAGAACAGGAAAATTATCCATTTCTGAAAGCTACTCGCACTTCCTTGTGCCTTCCTTTAATCCCAGCTCTAAGTGATCAGCCCAAGCAAGCCTCTATCAGAAGAGTGATATTCAAGCTCTGACGCTAGAGTTAAAACTTCTGCTGGATAACCTCTCTGCTTATTTATAGAAGCACCTGTTAAATTTATCCAGGGTGTAAGGTAAGATCCAACAGCTGAACTCACCAGTCAAATGTAGATCATGCAACCAGTGTGCTGTTTCAAATCGAAGGGAATCTATGCAGTCAGAGCTTGAGTTTCTGTTACTTGCAGTGCTTTAAATATGGCAGTAAAGCAGCAGTTAGACCAAACTCCAGCTAGAGAGGAGCTGAGGGGGTATTTAGAGGGGCTCTTTCAGCTGGATCCGTCTTTTTGTCCGTATTGGTTAGTCATTCCCTCTCAGAGATGTACATATCATGGTGTTGCACTGCAGCCTTTTGCTGTGCTTGCCTCCTACTGGTGGCTGTGTGCAATGCAGCATCATTATTACGTTGTCTTGTTTTTCTTATCCTAACATGCTGCACTGGATTGCAGCCATCTTGACTCACCTGAATCAATGAGCTCAGTTGCTTTGAGCAGAGATCTAGTAGCCGTGTGAGGGAATTAGAAGGAAATAATGGTGGGTGGAATATCCAGACTGATGGGTTAGCTTTCCGTCTCCTTTACAACAACGAGGACTGGACAACGTACACATAACCACCACTGACCCCAGCAGTGTTTCCAGTGAAAATCTCAACTTTAACTTTCCGCTTTGTGAATAGCCGCTGATGGTTTTAAAGATGTGCTGAAAAATGTGACAAGGAAGTTCAGAATGGGATTTTATCCCAGCATGGGCAGAACACTGTGGTTCTTCACTAGCATGCTGATAGGTGTTTGGTTTTAGACATGTTGTAACGCTTGGGAATGTGTGCAAAGGTAAAAAGGTCCTCAAATTTGATTTCATCAAAGTCATATTATGAATGGGGTGGAGGTTGATTTGCTTTGTTTTTCCATAATCTTTGATATGAGCTGCAAAGATTTCCGAAGTGTTTGATTTTTGACTTGATATTTGTTTTTATAACCCAAGTTTTTTGCAGGCAGTATGAAGCAGTAAATGTTGAAGCAAAAACCCAATTATGTAAAAACCAAAATGTTGTCTCAATCCAACCAGACAGAGCACACATATTTTAAGAACCTTTAAGCTATCTATACTGGATCATTGAGTCCTGTTTTATGATTTCTAATGGTCCCCAGCCCTACATCATATTGTCTTTGGATAATGGGGTTTATTTTGTTTTTATTTGTTGGACTACTGTTAATTTTTTATGTTGACTTTCCTTCCCCACTTGCCCCTCCCCCCCTTGAGTTTTCTGATCTCTGATTGGTTAAAACACCAATAAGGGAAAACCCAGCAGTTGAGATAAAAAAAAAAAACCTCAGGAAAACATCCACCACCTAATAAATTGTATTCCAATTGAGTGAACCTGACCGGTGGGGGTGGGGGGAGCGTAACTTTTTGGCTTCAAAGGACTGTTTACAATCTCTACCTTGATATGCACATGTGGATAGTTTGACGATCACTTGTTTTGTTTTCTTGTTTATATTTTCTGTTTCTTATGGTTTGTAAATCTATTTAAATTCTGAAATAAAGTTCTTTATTAGATACTGATTTTTATGTATTTTTTTTTTATTATTTTGGTCTTTTTATCTATAGTCCATTTTAAATCTCACTTTTATTCTTTATTCTGTTATTTTTCTGCAGGTGCTGAACAGGATGAGTATATCAAACCAGGACTTGCCTCTAAAATGTAAGAACTGGATCTTTTCTTGTTTTGCTTCACAGGTTGTGTCTGAAGTTTACATTTAAATATGTTTGCCTGTAAAATGGCCATACCAAGAGTTCAAATGGATTAGTATGTTCTCAGAATGCTATTTTTGGTAAGATTTGCTGAAGTTAATTTAAATTGGTTGATGCTGATGGGGAGCCACGTTATCTTTAGTCCAAAGAATTAAGGTCTCTTAAACGTCCTGTTTGCATGCTCTGGCTATTCTAAAACCAGTTGATGTCAAAAGTCTTAATGCTCTGAGTGTCCTGTTGTGTTCAGGTTTGAAATGTTCAGTGAAACTGGCTCTCTACTAACAAAGTAAAAAGGCTTAAGCTTGAAGCCTCTACAGGGTTTCCGCGGGGTCATTAAAAAATCATTAAATGTCATTAAATTGTTGTTTTAATTTAAGGCCTTAATTGGCATTAAAATTCATTAGATGTGTTTCTTGTGGCATTTAAAAGGCTTTCTTAAAAAAAAAAAAATTTTTTTTATAAAAAACAATTTCGTCAGACATATTATATCAAGATATATTTGCGTGGAACTGCTTCTGGTTGATCGCAAATATGTATGTTCGGAAAAGAAGCTTGAGTCAGAGAAAAAGCTAGAGAATGGGAAAGATTGCCAATTTCAACAAAAGTGTTTTGAAAACGAGGAATTCGGGACATGGCTGCAGCCTGTCGACGAGTACCTGTTGGTGGCATTAAAATTATTTGTAAGAGCATTAAAAAGCGTTATATTAGAGTTATTCATTCCTGTATAAACCCTGCTCTAACCTTTTCAGTCCAGTAGCCTTTTTTCTCCCTTTTACCACTGAAGGAAATTTTCCAAGCAGACATTTATAGTTTATTTTTTTGGTTGTACTCTTAATACCCTTTTTTATAGGTTAAAACAAAGGGAATTCTGAAATGTTTTTGATGTGAAGAACACTTCCACCTTTGAGTGGGGGAAAAAAAGGCCAGTTTAGTTTATGCTTTCAGGGAAGATTAAAGAAAGAACATCTCCAGAAACCTAATTGATAATATTCTCTAGTTTTCCAACAAACTGCTCAATATGGTAGCTTTAAATTATCGGACCTTTTTAAAAAGACATTTGTGACTAGAGAAACAGGTTGAAGACGCACTGTTAGGTTGAATGAACATAAAACTATCAGACTAAAGCATGTTTTAAATCTTTATTGAGGAGCTGCTGAACAAGAAGAGCCTTTCCTCTACAATAAGCAGCTTTTAACTACCGGTAGAATGAAATTTACTGCTGCCCACATGTATAATCCAAATACTGTCTGAGGAAATGTTCTATTGTTGGAGAAGGCAAAGGTTGACCAACTGGGTCACTGTGAATGGACGAATGTTTACTGGCAGCATAACAGTTGTTGTGATTTGTGGTGGTAGCATTATGCAGGCTGGTATCCATGATGGCAGTTGTAGATGTACAGCGGCTTCAGTCCTCGACGTGGCCGTCTCAGGTTTGTATCCCAGCCTGGTGACCTTTGCCTCATATTTTCCCTCTCTGCCCTTTTCCTGCGTGTAGGGCAGCTTACAGCTCTGCAGGCCCCTCACCAACCGACTGGACACCAACAGACCTCCAGAGCCTCATTTGAGATACCTGATCTAAGTAGAGAGCACTTATACTGAGCTCTCTGATTTTCAGGATTTCTAGTGGTGATGTCAATAATATAACTGAGTTAAGTCGGCTCAGATTTCTCAGTAAGTCTGAGCTGATAAATAGCCCTCATTCATAAAATGCAGAAAATGTGATCCACAACAGCAATAGAGGGAAATGAGAAGCCTCTCACTGCACGTTTATCGCCAGTGAAACTTAGAATATTAATCACTAAATATGGAGAATATCAAAGAGGAAAAGGGATACTGTCGATCTGCAAAATGAGAAGGGTTAGAGTGACAGAGACCAACTAATGCATGAGAAAGAACCTATCTAACCTAGTTAGACCTATCATAAAAAAGATATGTGCAAAAAAGACATAGTACCACATCAGGATAAGATTATAAGATTTAAATCTGGTATAGGTCTAGTCATCAGCCATAATGTTTAACCTTTAATAACTAATTTAGACAGTGTTTTGGATTTATTTGAAAAATATAATTAATATTATGTAGGAAGTTAAACCTTTTTAAAACATAGTTAAAATTAATAACTACATCTCCCTGTTAGATGGATGTAAAATCTGTATATTAAAGGGAATGCATTTGATCTAAAAGGAACACCTTAAAAACATTAAATAAAACATAAAGTCCTTTTATTTAGTGAAGGAGCTGTAAATGTGATTGACATCCAAGTTCCCAATCATAACCAAAGAATATCTGAAAAGATGTGATACCTGCCAAATTATTGCCTTTAGTGATGCACGCAGTTCTATGAAAAACATGGGTGACTCTATACAGATGCACCCATGCTGTAGAACAGGTCCTGGCTCCTGTACTGGAAACATTTTACAAAATCAGATCATTTGAAGGTCTGTGCTGACACAAAAGAAAAAAAACGATTATTCTCTTTGAACAATTAGTTTCTTGACTTTTAGATTTGCTTCAACACTGATATTAAAATGTATGTATTGAATAGGATCACATTTTTTTTCTCTGTTATGTTTGCAACCTGCCGCCTGGAGCTGCAAGAGGCTGTTTGGCTTACTGATTATATTAAACTAGTAACTATTACCCTGTTTTATTTGTTCTGGCCCTCCTGGTATATTTGGGCTAAAGTTAACAATGTCTGTCTGCTGAGTGCATGTGAAACTAAATTCAACACAAGGATGGCAAGAAATCTGATCCTGTGGCGACGATAATGGAGTACTGCGAAATTCAATTTGAATCAACAGCGATTGAAATTTTCGCACTACGCTGACCAAATAGAAACATTTTGGGCGAAACATCAAATACTGACTGTAAAAATATCAAATAGTTGTATTAACAAATTGTCAAATTTCCATGGTGTTTC